CAAGGATCAATTACCTTGGAACCATCGCTGATACCAGATGGCGCCATTGAATGAGGAACATTGTATGATTAATGACCTCGCCATCGGACGAGGTAATCAATATTTGATACAGATTTTAATACAGAAATTCGCCATGTTGGCAATGTTTGGCTTTTAGGAAGCTCAGAACCCATAGATCGAGTAATGACCATAAATAGACTATCGTAGAAAATGGTTTAGTGTCCTTTTAAAGACCCCAGGCTAGTTTTGTTAAGATGTCAAAACTTAAGTCGTCGTCTCTTTGCTCTTCTATTTGAATTTTTAAAAAAGTTTAAAATTGTGTCCAGTATTACATGAGCTGAAGAGCCACTGACAAACAAGACACACATCTTGCCAGACTTCGTAAGTTATCTCTCACAGTTGCAAGTATGGAAAAGAAAGGGGCACATCAGCAATCTGAGCAGGATAAGTCGCAAGAACCGAAGCACGAAGCTGACCTAAGGAGAGTGATAAGTCAAAGGTGGGTTGAGCCCTTCTAAGCATTTGCCACCATATCCAAAATATCTAAAAAAAAAATGAAGGTTCAACCTTTATCTGGTCTAGCCTGCGATAAAGCCGGGGCTCCGGCAACACTGCAACTGCGTTAAGCAGTAAGGAAGTTTAGCCCAAGACTTCCATCAAAACACAAAAAGAAAACGAGGAGGAAGAGATGCTGTTGTGTGCGGCACTAATTTTTGCGAGGTTAGTTATGATTTCTTATGGAAGTGGGACAGAATCAAGACAGTCAGACCAGCAAATATTGATTTCAAAATACAAGATTTTTTTGTATACAGTTTGCCGGAAATAGAACTCAGATATGTACAATATGCTAGTAAAAACCACCTTTTTTTTTCTTTTTTCTTTTTTTTTTATGAGTTTACAAGTGCTGCAAGAAATGCCCAAGCCTCTTAGCTGCTTGCTGGACTAACAGTGTGCAAATCAGTAGTGTCTACAAAATGTGCCAAAGAATATTTATAACTGCTCATTCCAAATGGCTCAGAGGATTGTAGAAAAAGGAAAGCCTACTCCTTTGAAATCTTGCCTATTAAACCTGGCCTCTTCAACCCCAAAATGATTAGCTAAAAAGCTTCCTAAAATTATGCACTGGATATACGACTTGCTAGATTCGTCGTCAGTCAACCAAAGCGTCTACTTTCTGAAGAAGTCTAATACCTAGAAAAAAGATTCAACCCCGACATAAGGGAGGGGCAGTGGCCAAACGAAGAATACAGATAGTAGGAGGTCTCCACGTATTATCATAAGCGTGAGCTGTGGGTAAAGCAACCTATTGCCTGCCGTCGACAAGAGTTTTGATAGTGCGAAAGCAATCTGGCAGACGCTCGCTGCCAGCATGTTCTTAAACACAGGGTACGGAGCTATGGCCGCCGGTGAATACTTCCTATAGACCTTTTCATCTCGGTGGTTACCCTGCCAATGGATAGAGGGCACTGGCAAACTTGCTGCCATTGAATGGCTTTGATTTAGCCGGGTTCGGTATCAGCACACTCGCGGCTGTGTTTCATGTCATTTTCGCCTAACGTTCTAAAACAAGCATGTGTTTGTTGTAGTACACAACCAGTACAACAGTGGTACTAGGTCACTTTGAGAACTATGAAGTGGTTTCGAGTCACAATTGCAGATATTTTTATGAACACTTCATGATGCATCTGGTCATGTTTGTCGTTAATTTTAGTCAGGTTCGGCGACAAAACGACTTAGCTTATGCACAGGTCTGTCGGGTAAGAAATTCTTTTAATCATCCCCCCTGCAAACATATTCATGACCAACATTTCATAATGTTGGCGTCGGGGAATAAACGAGTTGCTTTACATGCACGACACACTCAGGATATCAGATGAGAGACAGGTCTGTCGAGTAAAGACTGGCATTTACCGTGCGTAAAATTTGCCAAATGGAATTAAAGGGCGCCAAAGAAGTGACCTCCGTCAAGTTTGGCTGAAGTCGACTGTAGGCACTGCTTCATGAATGTGCTCTGCACATTTCGGTGTCACCAGCCAATTAAAGTAAGTCGCTGTCCGGCTTCGACAACACCGCACTCGGGCGATTTTCATGCAGATGGCTTTCTTTCGGCATCGCGGGCACCATAGTCGGTGACAGGTAAAAGACTAAAGTGGAAGCTGCTCCCACCTCTTTCAATGCTGGAGAGGAGGTCGCCTCCTCTCCAGCATTCGCTCTGCTAAAGTTGAAAGAAGGGGGAGGAGTCTCCACTTCACTTTCAACCCGTCACCAACTATAGGCACTTCCAAGCTGTCTGTGGGATTTTTTACCGGGGTAGTCCCGACTTTTGTTTTGGGAATAACTGAAAGAAATTAATGGAATTAATGCGTCTTAAGAAATTCGTTACAGTACTTGAATGGTTGCGAACATGGGACTGAGCACGGTGTACGGATTTTTTTAAATTCATAAATAAACAGATCAAGCTAATGCTTAGATCGCAAGAATGATTAAGAGTGCCTAAAACATATTTCGGTAAAACGCTATGAGCAAACAAATCACCCGATGCTGATGCTACCATTATTCCTAGGATCAGATAAAAAGCAAGTTCAGCTTACATTACCTATCTCCACGAGTTACCCCACATAACCAAAAACAAATGTTTTCGATTTTTATTGAAGGCAAAGCACGGTGCTTTCAGAAAACACACATAGTTGCTCCTTTGGTTGACTATTTTTGTCACCTTCCTTGAGATCTTAAATGCGCAATCATAATATATATTATTCCAAATGTACTATCACATTATTTCGAATGTACTATCGTAGACTCTGTTAGCTACAACACGCCACCGGTGACCATCCTGTACTCTCAGCGCCGCACAGCAGGTGCCGTTCGAAACTCCGCGCGTGTGCCGTGTGGTAGACTCACTCTTCCCGCCTGGGAGCATACCCTCGCTTTCTCGTCTGCTAGGCGTAGAGCACACGACACCACAGCGCTTGCCAATGTTTGCTGAACACGGTTCCCTGGGCGCCTCTTTTAGGCACAGATCAACTATCAGCCGTCTCTGCACGTCAGATATCCTCGCCATAGCGAACCGGTCTTGAACTCATTCTAGACAGGCGATGTTCATTGGGCAGATTGCAGGAGCACTGCATGCTTCAACAATACGTGTTTGCGAACCAGTATGAGTGCAGCAGGTATGATGCAGAAATAGACCATTAACTCCAAGTTTGTCCGAGAGAAAAAAAGTAATCTACCGTGACATATACAATTAGTGGCGATGATTATCATTAGCCTGGCGGACGCATCTCCGTAAGTCAGGGAATCAACCAACCGTGGGCGCTTCTTAGACGGTGGTTCGCTGAACATGTAACCGTGTTCAGCGAACATCGTCAAGCGCTGTGGCGTTGCCTGCTTTGCACCTAGCAGACAACGAAGCGCCGGCGCGCTCGCAGGAGGGGAGAGAGAGTCCACCACACAGTGCATACACGGAGTTTCGGACACCAGCCGCTATGCGGCGCTCAGGGTATAGGACAGCCGCTGCTCGTGTGTTAGAGCTAACAGAGTCTGCGATAGCACTGCCACTATCACTAAGCGAACTTGAGTTGTCACAAGTCATTGGGCTACCAACCCTTGTGCCGACTCAGTCATCTATGCAATCAATGTGCGCCATTCTTGCACCTTCTCTATCCTCGTACACACTCGGTACGACGAAGATAAAAATAGTCCAAGCGAGTTTCAAATTTAACTGCAGAGGTTGGGCACCTAATGATGGCGCACAATAGCATTGGATGACATTTTACAAAGGGGAAAAACGCGGTGTAACACGACAAAAAACACAAATACAACGCGTCTGCCAAGGCGCGGAGGGGGAGCGGAGCGATGAGCTAGAGCAGCCCTACGGGGGACACGTCATGTCATTCCAAGATGGCAGCGCCCATGCGACGGAGGGTGAGAAGGTCTATGGCTCCCAAAGCTTTCTAAAGAATGGCCCTGTTCGAAGAACCTGCGCGTGAACTGCGATGGGGACAACCCCTGTTGAAGCCCTCCCCTGAAAGTCGAGGTAGCTTCATAGCACAGCTAGTCACTCTAAGATTGCCAACTTGCTGAGGCTGGATGTGGTTTCTTACATCAATTCACTGAGGAAGCTAATGAGTCACACTGACGCTGGTTTTTCTTCTAGGTAGGTACAACATGGCCCCTGAAAATACCGGCTCTTGATATCCTTCAAATCGAGTGTCTTGGGATGTGCCTGCAACACTATTCATTGAACAGGCAGGATGCAGGAAACCCAGCACGAGCTGCACACGGAGACAGCAAGGAACAAGGGAAGCTAAATGACACAAACGCACGCTAAATTAAGTTTCAAGGCTATTTTTGCTTCTATTCGTTATTGTAGACAAGAACAGAGATTTGCTGTTCAAGAAACGCCCTCGCAAGATTGACAGTTGTGACGAATATAACTACAGTAAAACCTCGTTATAACAAAATGGGATATAAAAAACTAATGGATATAACAAAGCAATCATAATTCCCCTTGCTTGCTAATAGTGGGAAGAAATGGACGTTGGCTATAACAAACTAATGGTTATAACGAAATAATTACAACCGCTCCTTCAACTTTGTTATAACGAGGTTTTACTGTAGCGATCTTTTTCGTCCGTCTCTTCTTTTTTTCGTAGTTGTTGCATTTGTTGTATCATTCCTTCCCATTCCCTAGTCTTGGGCACCGTGCACAACTGCCTATTCGTCCCAAAGTGAACTATGATGAGCCTCGTTTGTTCTGCCCCTCCTCCACCTTCCCACAGCTTTGTGTTTTAGCAATGTGAGATTACGTAACACAGAAATCAACCAAGTAGGTTTAATTTATAGGGCAACAATTACAGCAGACAACACAATGTCTACACTGGTGAGCCCTGTCGTCTGCTACCGGCCGACCACAAGCCAGAACACGGTCTCATCTCGCACTGTCAGACCCGTAGTCTGCTAGAACAAACTCTTATTGGCCACACAGAAAAGGCTCTCACCTGATTGGCCTGGCAAACAGTGCAGATCCAGTCTTCGGTGGGCACGTCAGTCAAGGGAGGGTCCAGACAGGCCAGATGGAATACAGCCGGACAAGTCTCGCAGCAAAGCAGGTCTCCGAGCTTGTGACAGACACGACAGTGGTCGTCGTGCTTGGCGACGCCTTCGCTGGTGATGTCTTCCCGGGCCTGCGCCGTTGTCAGGAACTGGTCGCAAAGAAACTCAAGCACGTTCAGCTTGCTCGCAACCGTCGTGAAGGGGTACTCGCAACGCTCCAGCGCCGACAGCATAGACCTGAAATCGGGATCGCTTCCGAGATACATTCGAAGCACGGCGGGCCAAGTCACCGCGTCCACCATGTACAGGTGCACGTTGATGCTGTCTTTGAGGTCCTGTGGGCCGAACTGCGTACCCGCCGCTTCTTCCTCGCGCAGGATCGCGCGGAGGAGCGCGATGTGGGCCTCGGAGAGAAGCGCAGACTGCTCGTCGGACATGAGCGCCACGCAAAAGTCCTCGAAACGGAACGGCGTGAGCCTCAAAATGTTGCGGAAGTGCCTCAGGGACTCGTAGATGCTCAGCGCCCGCATGATGTGACAGGTCGGCAGGATGAGGTCTTCGGATGACTTCGGGAGTGCCAGCGGAGGGATCTCGCGCTCCTGCAGAAACACTGGGCTATGCGGCCGCCGCGTCCATTTGCGCTTGGCCGGGGTCGAGCTCGAGATGGTGCTGTAGCTGCTCTGAGAGTACACGCTGGCGTCGTCGGACTCGTAGCTGGCCACGGACTCACGCTCCTCGTCGTCGTCGTCTTCAGCGCCGCGCTGGTAGTCGCTCTCGTCAGCGCTCGACGGAGCCTCAAAGTCATTGTCTTCTTCGTCGCCCAGGACGCTCTGAATGAAAGTACGCACCTTCTGGGATTTTTCGCGGAGTCTCTGCCGGAGCTGGGGTTGCACCGCGGGGCCATCGTAGGGCCGCAGTTGAAGTCCCACGCGCGAGCCTTGGGCACCGGAACCAGCGTACAGGTAGCGAGGCTTCTTCAGCAAGCTAGGCCTATGCGAGAGTACGGCCGATTTGGGGGGTCGCCCCCGACCCCGCCGTCCGCGTGACGACATCGCGGTCGGTTCGAGATCTTCCCTTGCGGTCTAGAGAATCGCCTCAGCGCCAGCACACGACGCCGAATTTTACCTGGGGCCTCTCGCTTCCCTGGAAACAGTCCATGTTGCTACACTTTGCGGGCGGCCATGATCGCCGTTGAGGTCACGTGACCTATCCATTGACAACGTTGCTTCGCCGTCTTTACATTTGCCGGCGGCCACTCGGTCCGATGCAGCGGGCGACAAGGCGGAAAAAAACACGCGGAATAAACTACACCGTTTTTTCGTCGGCGAGGCGAAAGGAGCCAGGCACAGGTCCGAAATCGCCGAAACGGTGCCCGGACGAAGCTCTGTTGTTCGACATATTGCGTTACCCCCTCTCGGAGAAACGGAGGCTTCTGATTGGTTAAGGCGCCAAGCCGCCATAACCGTTTCAAAACGGCCAAGCCTTTTAAAAAAGCTGCCAAGCGCTACGAGGCCTTTAATTTCGCTTCAGGGCGACGCAGCGGGACGGCGTCCTTTAATTTGCCTGGTCGCATCTCGAAAGCGAAAGGTATCAGCCATAATAAACCGATCCTTCTGTTATCCAAAAATAATGGCCATCTGGACCAATCAGCGACGTGCGTCCCCAAACGAGCGGGAAAACTTACGCCATCTGTCGAAGCGTCTGCGAACTTTTTTTTTTCTCACGATGGCTGCTGTTGCGTCTGCTGCGTCGGCTGTTGAACACGCTCGCTGCCACATGTATCGTGTCGAACCGATTTACGGCGAAACTAGTCCGATAGAGCTGCCGAATTGTATGTACAAAGTCGACTCCGTCTACTGCGAAGCGGATACAAGCGGCATTTCCAGGCCGGAGGTAATTTAAAAACACCATACAGCTCGAATTTGGCATTGTCCACCGACCGTTTACGCAGTTCACGTGTCGATGTCATCGTTACCGACACTTTCGCCCTTTCGCTCCAAATCGTCTTATCGGAGGTTTTTAAATGGTCTTTACAAGTCTCTTACATAAACTGCGAGGGAGGTGGGGAAGCGAAGAGGGCCTCAGCCAACCTCAGCTGGGGAACATAAATTGTCTAAATATAACCACGCTTTTCATTTATTATTATTTTTTTTTGTGTGTGTGTGTGTGTGTGTGCTGAGGAGGCATTCACCCTTGCTGTGGGGTCGCTGGGGAAATCGAGGGACCGCTAGCCTGATCATGTTTTCTCAGCAACAGTGGGTGGTGTGCTTGTTAGTTTCCTGACTAGGTTGCACATTATCGCTGTCACTTGGCTCTTAATTGTATTCTGAACGAAAATGCGAAGTCAATGCTTAGGGGGGGATGTTGGCAGGCTAAAATGCAGGCGGCTGAAGCAGACACGCGGCATCTTCGTCAGCAAGGCTGAAAATCTATTTCTCTCCCTACATCGCTGTCTGATTTCTCTCCCTTGCTTGTAGGACAGAGGAGTCCAGAATTACGAGGCGCAAAAAGCAACGTTCGAGGGATGTTGGACAGGTTTGTAGTGCAGCCATCAGAACCGAAGGGATCCGAGAGGCAGAAGCTAAAGCTAGAGATCGAGGTTCCTGGAGAAAATGATCTCCGTCTATAATCCAGCTACAGCCTAGAGGTCTCAGTCTGAAACTTTGCTGCTGCCTAAAGATCTCAGCCTACAACCTACTGCTGCCTGAAGATCTCAGTCTAAAATCCTACTACTGCCCAACCCCCTACTCGAAAAACAAAGATGGGTAGAGGATGGCAGCTAGCTAGCAGGCATTCATGCGTAAGGGTTGTAACCTTTCTGCTTGGCCTCGCACGCTATCGTGTAAGCACCAATCTCCCATGAAAATAAATTGCAGTTCATTTTCCAGCTCATGAGTTGGTCAGGGAGATGAGTAAGGATGAGAGACTGTCTGAAAGTTGCAGCATGTTCTCCCATTTTGTCCTTTCTTCTTTTCCCCCAGTAATGTATGGTCGCTTTATGTTCTGACAGGGTTCCTTCTGCTTCCAGATGCAGGCTGGCGCTGATGCAGAGCTGGTTCAGCGCCTCGAGGCGAGGCAGGAACAGCTGCTAAAGAAGCTAGAATCTCTGCACTCCGTGGTGCAGAAGACAAGGGAAAGCTTGAGCATCGGCATGGAAAAAGGGACGCCAAGCACCAGACAGATCTCCGCGAGCTCAGTCTCCGCTTTGGTAAGGGGTCATGGATACTCAAAGAAGACATTGTTCATAAAAAGGACCATTGTTGCTTTTCTTTTCTTCTTTTTGTGAGCAAGGTTCATGAAGGTCACATTTGGTTCATGAAAGGGCCATCATGGTATTTTCATGAGCAAGCTTAATAAAGGCCCATTGTGACCTTTTTGTGAACAAGGTTCATGGACATGACATTAGGTTGTTGCCTTTTTATTAACAGAGTTCATACAAAGTCATGTTTAGTTAATGCTTTCCTAAATATGGGGAAATGCCTGTTTTGTGTGGCTTTTTGTGAAAAATGTTCTCCTTGGAAAACTATTAGGTTTACAATACAATGCCATACATAGAAATGAAGCTAAATAGATGGTCTTTTCAACGATGCAACTGTCAAAGCAGAGACGAATTTTAATGCAATATTTCATTCGTCAGACAATTGTTTTCTAAAAATTGGTCCCAACTGGATAAAGATATAACTATATCTTTAAAAAATCTAAAAAACAAGGTTAATTATATTAAATGCATAATGGGGATGTGTGCCAAAAGAATGAGGACAAGAAGACGAGTAGCACACAGGACAGGGCAAAACTTTCAACTGAAATTTATTAGAATACATACAGAAATGGTAAAACTGCACATATTCAAAGAGTATACACCTTTTTCGTCTAGCCTAGCACCCAGCCACGTTGTGCCCCTATCCGGTATGCGTTCCGAACAAAAAGCAAGAAATTACAACCCCTAACAAGTAAAAAAGTATAGAAGGGTCATAACAAGAATGATTGACGGTTGCAATAAAAATGTCAACATGTTCTACTGTCGAGGCGAGAAGAAAGCAATGTTTTCACGCATACCGGAAGTTCCAGAATTGAACATGGCGGCGCCCACGTAGAAAAGGCGTATACACTTAGAATAAAAACCCGAGGAAGGCGGACGGCATTGATGAAGGACAGAGGCTTGGCTGATAAAAGAATGTTTCTTATCGGAAAAGGCTAAAGGAATGCTGACATAGACAGTTGGTCCATGTGATTTTATCATGAAGGCTTCATGTACTTTATGCTCTAGTTCAGTTTTAAAGCTCCCCACAACCTTTGTTCCATGAAATTCTGGGTGGCATTTGCATCTGTCGGAGAGTACAGCCACGTGGCCAGATGGGGATTGCCTAGTGGCAGCTGAGTGCTCTGTAATTCTATGATTGATGCACCTCCCCGTCTCACCCACATACACCCTCCCGCGTGACAAAGGAATTCCATATATGACCCCTATCGCACACTCGCAAAACTTTGTAGCATGACGCTTGTTCCACGCTACTCCTGTCTGTCCTGACTCTCCTGCTTTTTATTTAATATTTTGCATAACATAGAAAGTTTGTTCGGCGCGGAGAAAACGATAGGAATGCGAAACCGATTCACCACTTTTTTCAACTTGTGGGATATCTTAATCACATTGGGCAGGACAACACGTCTGGACCTTCCTCCTCGCTTTGTCAACGTGTTCTCCCCTGCTGAATGTTTTCGGCTTTTTTTGACCAAAACCTCTGAAACATAATGTATATGAAATACAATATGTTTTTCATTTATACAACAAAGAACTCTGCAAAAACTGGAGATTCCAGCTCAAAAAAAGTTTTTGTTCTACCATAAATCTAGTCAACCGTCATGACTCACCTGCCATTGGGCTAAGAAGCTTCTCACAGGTCACCGGAACTGAAATGTAATGACCTGCCTTCATCGTCAGACCCACCGCTGCTGTCCAAGTCCGATAAATCGGCGGAGGATTCGTGAGAATCGCCACGCTTGCGAGCGCATGCCGGACCAGTGGAAGCGGCAATAGCCGTCATGAACGACGACACGCTGTCGGTTTTATGCACGACATAAAAATCGCTGCCATGTAGAAAGAAAACAACCTGTAACAAAGTAGAGAGCTGGGCTGCCTGGTGGAAGTTGAACGTGGTGTAGTGCGTAACAACGAGGACTAAGAGAAGGAAGACACAGTTTAGGACAAGCGCTGACTCACAACTAATTGATTAAAGGGACACTGACAGGGTATTTATGTTCGCCAAGGGTTTTATTTGTACATGACATGAGAGCCCAACTACCCAGAATACAATTTGCGGCTCGAAATTCGTTTTCTTCCCGCCCGAAAATCACCGAACAAGAACAAAGTCATGGGTCATCAAAGGCACACACTCAATATTAGAAATAGAAGAAAAATATGATGCCCATTTTTTGTGGTTTCTAAAAAACTGCAAATACGTTAATTGAAAAAAAGAAAAATGCAAGCCACGTGAGTTCCGGAAACACTCTCCTCCTCTGTATTTCTTCTTCCTCCCCAGTCCAGTTTTGGTTTTGAGCAGTTGCTTTTTTTGCTTTATTAAAAATGTATATGATGCTGTAGCAAAATATTGATTGGGTAGTCTTCTGACACCATAATGGATCGCCTAACTAAAAATTAAGAAAAATAAATGTTGGGGGATGTCAGTGTTCCCTTGATAGTAAAAACAGGAAAACATAAAAGGCACACTTAACCACGCATGCACCATTCAAACTGTCTCATTATATGCCAGACCTTGGCGTATAATTAAAGTTTTTTCACTGTCTCTCTCGTCACAAAACGCTTCATCTTCAAAAAAAAGCTTTTTTTTTTCCAATAACGCCACCGATGGCTTGCTGACACATTGCGCTCCTTAATTAATGATGTGGAAGGCCTCTATCACTTCTCTCGTCACCTTATCTCGGTACCTTCCTAACATAGCCACTATTGTCGCTGAACCCACAATCATTGACACGCCTCTCAGGTTGTGCTTCCCAAGAATATTTTGGGGGTGCAGTGCAAAAATTTTTGGGCCTTAGTGGAGAAGTATGAGCCCTGTTTGAACAGGTTTGAGGCTCTACCAGTGCATGGATGGATGGATGGATGGATGGTGTTGGCTATATCCTATCTTCTCGCTCTGACTCCACGAGGATGCGGAGAAAGAAGGAAGCAAGGCCATTTCCCCTCCACCTCAACAATTCTGCAGGAAACACGAAGTCGCGATTCTTACTCAATCGCATCCATATTTTACAAAAATATGGCCATTTGTTCGAGATATCGCTTTACGAGTGGTGTTTTGGGGTTTGTGGCGCCCCGCTGAACACTCCTTCTACCTTATTTTGTGAAATTCAAACTTCGTTTCACCATCTCTTTTTAAATGTTGCTCTACATTCCATCCCTTATTAAATAATCTACCCCATCAATTTTGTGTATTATCACGCTTCTCGTCTTTCTCCACTAGTCTTCTAACTTCCTCTCTATGATCGTAATTTTTTTCTCCTTTTTTCAATCCTTGCCAGCAAAACTTAGCGTCCGTGCCAAATTCATTACCCCTTCAGGGAGGACAGGGCAAAGCCCCGTGCCCTTCAAGACCAAATTGCTCTAGCATCTTGCTCTCACTATGGCATACGGCATATAATGTGTCTAGATGTGCAGTCGGTGGCCCAGATTAGTCTTGAGCTGTCATGTCTGTTGTACCATATGAAACAGTTCCTTCACTTTGTGTAATTCGGTTTATGCCAAAGGTGCAACTAGGTAATGATTGCGGGTGTCTGAGATCTTGGCCCATGCGCCTTTCACGATTGAGAAGACCAAAATGAGAGTTGTCAATATCTCACATGTGGAAGTGACTTTTTTTTTTTTTTTTAAGTCTGGAAGCATTACTGACATCTTCCTTGAAATGTTTGTTTTAACTAAACGGTGCCAGTGGAAGACAACCGAGTTGACTGACATTTTCGGCCTCTCATGTTTTTGGTCACATTCAATATGCCACAGCCTTAAACAAAATGTGATTTTTTTCGTTCCATTAAAAACGGGCTCGGCACGTTGCTGAGTCTTGCGAGGGTAGTGGCTTCTCTTTTTAATTTTGGTCAATTCCAAAGTTAAAAATGTTTTGTCGGCCAACTAATTACAAGCCTCCAGGAAATTGTACTTCAGTACTATACAGTGCTCACCAAACTTGTCCAGAGCACGCAGACTGTCTCATCGTGTGGGAGCGCTGTCCCGGTGGCAGCCGAAGAACTGCTTTACGGCGTAGCGCTCAGTGGATCAGCCCGAGCAGGGGAGGCCGCTTGCTGGACCAAGGACACCGCAACAATGTTACTAACCGGCTAATCTATACTCGTCGCCTCTTTTTCTCGCGGTGATGCGCAGGTCTATGTCGAAACAAAGGTTGGTGGGATGATTCAGTAAGTAAGCATTCAACGTTTCTACCGAATGAGGAGAAAAGCGGAGATTACTTCGCAGACGAAACTGCTGTGTTGTCTATGGTCCAGCAGCGATTTCGCGGCCTTCAGTGAGCTCCCCCGGTTTAACTGTTCTATTTAGCGCTACGCCATGGGCCAGTTCTTCGGCTGCCACCGGGATAGCGCTTCCGAGAGCTAAGACGCCGTTCACGTGTTCCGGACAAGATTGGCGAGTACCGCACAAACATTCTAGGCACTGGTACCGAGAATACCCCGATTTAGCAAAGATGTTACTTTGAAAACAAACCAACTCTACTATAGCGGAGTTTTACGGTGCATTCTTTTGCTTTGCACCGACGCACCACCGCACTCTAACACGGACGCCGTCCCGAAGATGCAGTCATCGTCATCGACTGCCCCGGGCGGAGCTCCACCTTTGGACGTGGTGTTGGGGGCGTCGCCCGGCAGGCCCCCGTTCAGCGTGTGGCCGCTCAAGAGGCTGCTCGGCGAGCGGAGGCGGGTTCTGCTCAGCTGCCACACCCACTCGTCGGTGAGCGGCCTGCCCCAGCGGATCGGAGACCTCGGTCGACTGGAGGCGGGTGGCGGCGGTGACTCCAGGAGCTTCTACGACCTGGTCCTCACCCTCGTGTGGAAGCAAGGTGCCGTGAAAACGAGCCCGTCCCGCATCGACGGCTTACGGTCACTCCGCCGTTGACAGACGGAAGATTGTTTCGTGTCAACCGCCTTCCGGTGTTGCTCTGTCGGTTAATGGAAGATTGGCGTTTCACATTTCACTTCGTTTTACCTTGCGTCCGGTCGTGGCAGAGGACACAAGGTAAAACGGAGCGCAACATAGCATCCGGTGCGGTTGGAAAAATAAAGTGAAAGGGAGTGTGAACTTTGACGAGCAATAAGCCACCTACGTCGATGAAAGTACTACAATCCGTCATGCATTATTTTTATGACCACCGAGACACCGGAAACACTTTGATTTAAAGGAGCTTCTAACGCGTTGACGCGAGGATTGAAGTGGCCAGACTCCCGTCGACCCCCTGAGTCTCCGACGCCGTCATCTTCAGAACCGTTCCTCACGGTCTCTCTTTGATTTTGGTTAGATTCTCTCGTCAAGTAATGCAACATCACGGTGAAAGCAAAGAAAGCTTTGGTAGCTTATCGATACCAGGATGTAGTGCTTCGTGCAAAAATGAAAAATATAACTTTCTCGGTGTGTCCGAGGACCCTGAACCGTTTGCGGTCACATTCCGTGTTGATGCTTTACCGGCTAGGACTCCGTTGATCGACCAGAGTGTGGCTCTGTTTGTGGATTTCTGGCTGATTTCCTCGCTGTTTTTTTTTTCTTTTTTTTCTTAGTGGAAAGGGACTGTGAGATGATGGTGAATCCTTTGCTGCAAGTGGCCATTTCCGGAGAGGTCAATTTGATCAGGTGAGTTTGTTTGCACTGTCGTAGTAACGTGCCGTGTTAAGTCCGTATTTCTGTTGTTTTAAGGAAGGGACATGGCCTCAGAATTAAAATTTTTTCTGAAAAAACATTTTTTTTTTTTCAAAAATGATATGCTTATGTTTATTAACTTTCAGAGAATGGTTTCAGAAACTTTCCTTTATAAACATGCAGGATTTATTTCACAATAAATTATTTTCAACATGTCGGCAGCCCTCCGAGTCAGCAGGGACCAAGTTTTTTGCGCTTTCTATTTAGCGATGCTTCATACACGTTTAACATAGCCAAAACATGTCACCCTCTTTGGAAGTGCCTTTTACTCTAGATTTAGCCCATAGAAGCTGTCAAAGTCTAAAGGTATCAATGGCCAGGAGAACTCTAAACATCCAAACAGAAAAATTCCTGAAAATTTGGTATGAGCAATCTTATTGGTTGAGACCTGAAACAGGGTTTATGATTGGTCCTTCCTGGTGATGTAATATTGTGCCATCTTCAGTAACACCCTTTCACAGTATCTTTCACTTCTGATCATATTCCCACTTTGCTGCTCTTCCCTAGTATGCTTTGCCTCCTAGTTCTTGCCAGTTTTTCTGTCAAGGAATGCCTGCTACAAAAGTTATCTTGCCTACAAATGACACAAACTGGTAGCTATTGCCAGGGGAACAACAAAGTCTCAAAGAGGAAGGTGCCAACAATGCCCCAGGTGAATTTTGCCTACCTCGGACTCGTAGAAAAAAAAGAAACCTAAAGTTGAAACTTCAAATGCATTTTTCTCAATTTCACTTTTTGGCAGGAAATGTGGTATGAGGACATTTGGCATTTTGAAAGTTTATAGATTTGACTCGGTGGTGTCCTGGACTGAAATTTCCTGAGGAACAAGTGAAAGTACTCATAATCAGAAAAGGCTAAATTCTTCATGACAAAAACTGAATATTTTGAAACACAGAAATATGTTAAAATCTTTTGCCCTTTTTGGCTGTTTATCTAGAACTGCATCTTCTACAATTAATTTTTACCTTAACTTGCGCTATGGGTATTCTGGTTCACATTAAACCAAACATTTTGTGGTTTGCAATTAGTATTTTTTTTTAAATACATTTCCTAATAAAGTAACTTTTTTTCTGGAGCTTGTTAAGCATAGTATGATGTAGAATTGGCCTACAAGACTGAAACTTTAGATGTCATCAATCCTAATGGGGTTCAAATCACCCTGAAAGTTTGAATCAGTTTGGTTGAACGGTTCAGAAGTTGATCCTCCCAGGCCATGTGCCCCCTTGAGAAAGCAGCTGGCTGGTTTTATGGAAGGGTAAAAATCTTGGTTATTAATAACAGAATCTTTTTTTTTTTTTTTGCAAGCTGATCAGTTACTAGTTGTGTTATTTCTAAGTGCCATCGAGGCTACATCAAACTCTAAACAAAAAAAAATTGTTTTTTGTTTTTAATGGTTTGGGTTAGAAATGTCTCAAAGCTCTAAATAATTTTTGTACAAAACTGTAATATTTGTGCGACATGTTAGTATCTGATAAAGTGTTCTCACTGTTGTCATAGTGCCTTTGATTTTACATGTATGAAAACACCACATACTTTTTCGTGTGGCAATAATCTGCCAGATCATTGCCATGGCAAATGTTGTACTATATATAAAATCATTCTAGGTGTCAACCGAAATGTTAGAAAATGCCCATCCAATGGCTATAATATTACTGTCCTCAGTTATCTTAGTCAATCAATCGTTCTAAGGCAAGCAGCAAGCAAACACAACATCCAAAAGTTACTTTTTTTTAAAACAGCCGATTAGAATCTTTGGCCATTTTTATCCCTCGCGTTGTGATCTAACTTTAGACTTGCTTTCTCGCTTCATGAGCTTTGTGTCGCTTACATAACTATTCCCGACGGTCTCAACTTGCCTCAACCTCGTGTTTTGCACTCTGTTGTCTCTCATTTTGTCTTCTCACCTGTTTTGGCTTGCCATCAACTCTATCTTGTCTTTGGCCCTTTGTTCACAGCTCCTGCTGGCTTTTACATACATTGACAGGGAGTAATGGTAGTGTTTGTTTCCCATCGTAACATTCAGGTACCTTGGCCGCCTTCTGGACCCATCTTACGAGAGCCTCGGACCGGTGGAGGCCACAGAAGTGGACCACTGGTTGGACCAGGCCCACCACGGACTGCTACACGGGAAGAACAAGGAACGCCAGGCGGTGCTCAAGGCCCTCAATGCGCAACTCGGGAACAGCCCTTATGTCCTCGGATCTTCGCCAAGCCTGGCAGACATCGCACTTTGGAGCGCAGTGCTGCAGTTGGATCTTTTGTCTGGAGCGCCGTCCAACGTCAAGCGGTGGATGAAGACGTTGAACGAGGACCCTAAGTTTAAGCTGCCGGAAAGCTGCCTAGTACCGGAAGTCATTTGATGAAGCTGATGGCCCGTGAACGCTACACATTTTCAAATGTACAAGGACCGCAATACTGTGGTTTTTGAAGTTAGGGTGGCGTTTCTTATTAGTCAAGTTTTCGAAAGACAATGATATGTTGCCTGCTGATGTACATTAAAGCTTGCACATCATTCTGCTCATTGTTTTTGTTGGTTTACATCAGTTCTCCTTGGTCACCCAGGAAGTTGGAGAGTATAGGTAAGCGTGCCCTAGGCTAAAAGTTGTGGAACCTTTCTATATCTCGCGGAACTTTCCTTCCCTGACGTCCAGAAAATCGCCCCCCCCCCCCCCCCTCACAATGTTTTTGCAAAAAGAAAGTTGAGAAGCTTAAAGCTGTTTAATGCTAGCAAGTGTGGAAAGAGATATTACTATTACTTATTGCATATAGCTAGGGTCTTTCGGTTGATTTCAGCTGCTTCAAGGAGTGTCCAGGATACCTGGAACCTGTAGGTGGTCATTTGAACCTATGCCATAACCGAAGAACTTGTGCGGAGTGCAAGTTCGTCTGCTTCTTGCACAGGGGTTGCGATGATGTCGGAATGCCAGGCCCTTATTGGATGTTTAAAAAAAAATAGAATAGTGGGTAGACTTAAAGGCATCCTGCATTGAGGTCTACCCGCTACCCTTACAATCAGCCAATCGAAACTTGGCATTGTTCTGACGTCGTCACAACTACTGTGGAATGTTGATACTGCGCAAGAAGCAGACGACTTGCTCTCCCCATAGGTTCTTGGACAATCAACATTTCGTGGAGTAGCAGTGAAAATAGTGACGGTCCATCAAACTAATAGTGGGGAAGGCAAGACAGTAATCATAAGCCAAATGATTACTTTTTTCTTTTTTTTGCTTTTTACGATGATGTATACAAGAAATGAAAGAAAGCGTACGGCTAAGAGTGGTTCGAGAACAAATGTACAGTTGGCAACGTTGGAAATGGGGCAAAATGTTTTTCTTTAGCGTTTTTTTTGTTTTTGAGGTGCATCATCATGACAAGGCATTTTATATGTGTTTTGTTTTTTTGTGCAAGGCTTGTTCATCGTCTTTGAATCGATAAGATACTATCGGGCAGGCAATGAAAGACGCTGTCATTTTGGTGATGCCGCGGCACATGCGCCAGAGCGCCAGAGGAAGGAAAACTGTGGGCGTTTCCCATGTGTTTGGAAGCTGTCAAAAAGGGCTGTTCAGGCCGCGAGCGCGTTTACTTCGTGCTGTCGTCGGAGGTGAGCTTTGCTCATCATTTCCATGTCAACTTTGTCTCTAAATGTTCCTCTCTGTGATTGTTCGAGTTTGTTGTAAACTTTGTTAATTTGGATGTGTAGCTCACGTATGTTTTTCTGTAGAATAACGTCGGTGCTTAGCACGAGCTTGCTAATCAGCGAACGACCCTTCTGCAATCTATGCCCGTTGCAAGGATTTGTTGCACCTTTTTTACTTTGATGTTACTTTAGCCTTACGTGTACTTCAAGTTTTATCTGTATTTAGTTTTCTTGCAGGGCTAGTCGTGTGAACAACTCATTTTGTTCTAGGGTTCGCTAAAACATTTGGGAGATAAAGCAAGCAGTTCTTTGTCAATGACATCATGTCCTGTTAAATGCAGCACTCGGGAGAGCGGGATCGCGGACTACAAAGTTCGCCACGACCATGGGGACATCGAAATGGGCGTTCCTGCTGGCCATTTTAACCTGCATCGTCGCCGTCGTCGATTGTGCCGACGAAGACTCTGATCTCGAAAACTACTTCAAGCAAAAGATAGACACCTTCAAGTTGCGGCTCCACGAGGCATTCGAACGAGCCAGAATACAGCGCCACAAGCGAACCGCCGGCGGATATAACGGTCCTGACGACGCTGGTGAGTTTCGGTTTCGGTTTTGGAGCGCGCCGCGTTTCACCCAACGATGGACTGCAGTGGATATGCTACCAGTCATTCCGGCCAATTTAGCGGTGTGAACGTATCGCACAACCACGCGTCTCCTGCATCGCTGTGGGTGAGTCGCGTGGCACTGACACGACGTTCGATTGGCCCCCAATGGCTCGTCGTGCCCGCTGCGGTCAGTCGTATAGGTGAGGCGGAACTCTAATCTTCAATTATTTTTCGATAATTTGCTCGGACTACAGTTCCCGTTGCTATGGGATTAAGTGGGGGTGGGTCATGCCCAGTGTTGGCGGTGACCATTAGTGTGGTCACCGCCAACACCGCGAACCGCACTTTAACACTCGAAAAGCCACGTGCGGCTCGCGAACCGCAGTTTGGCCACCCCTGGTATAGACCAACAAAGAACCGAGACGACCAAGACACGCAGCACTAGCTAGAGAATTTTTTAATGTTGCAACTCGCACCAGTTGCCAAAATCTGGACGACCCGCGCATTCAGAATGTTCCAGGCAAAAATATGGATGGAAATCAGGCTGGAAAGCATCACAAGTTGTCACAGGCACTTGTTTAGCCAGTCTGCCCGTGAACATCAATTACGTCACTATTCTTGCTTTGGACTAGCACCGTAATCAGTTACTAATCGCTTGTGCTTGATTGAGAGCCACTGCATTTGGTGCAGAACATAGTTTTCTTCCTGCTCTGGACAGTGACAATAAATTTGAGGGATGTATTTTCACCCACAAAATTGTATTTAATTACAATTGTATTTGAAATACTCACATTTTAGTATTTAAATACACGTGTCAAATACATTACCCAATTTGTAATTAAATACATGCGTCGAATACATTACCCAATTTGTAATTAAATACAAATGCAAAATACAAAGTATTTGAAATACGTATTTCAAATACTTTTATTGAAGTACTGCCCATCCCTGGTTGGGGCGATAGGTGGGACGCCGCAAAACCGAAAACATGGAAAAGGAGTGCACAATTTAACACGGCTGACGAGGCCATGCAACTTCTCGGTTCTCATTTCCTCTCCTCTTTGCTTCGTCCCCTCGAGCAAATGTTGCCTCAGGCTGGGGAACTGAAGCGAGGAGAGAAACGAGGCCGCTTCCCCCCGTTCTTGTCTGTTCCAGGAGGATCGTGACATCAGTTCTCGCTTTGTCGTGCCCTTCTATTCCAAATATACGGCCATCCGTCAGATACATCGATGTACGAGTGAGGTTTCGGAGTTTGTAGCGTCCCGTTCAACGTTTCTGCGGCCTCGTGACACCAAGGCACGAGCTTAAAAACGTGCTTGAAAGGCTTCGGTAGTGCTGTACGCGGAATACGTGAACGGTTTGCTAAAAGTTCCCAATTTTTTTCAGTAACGTAGTAATGCACCCGTTACATTTTTCAAAACGGTAACAAGTTACGCTTCAGTTACTCATTTCAAGTAACTGGTAATATTAAATAACTTGTTGCATATTATTTCTGACATAAAATAATCACTTAATTTTTTTCTTGTTTTTAGAGACAAGTCATGTGCATTCTTGTGTTTTCAGCATTTTACCTCTAGTTTTTTCTCACGAGTATTCAGGTGGAACGTAAAAGTTTCTGCATGGGCATAATATGTTTCTTGAAATATGCCGATTATCTATATATAATATACCTATAACCTCAAAGTGAAAGGTTTTAATTTACATATTAAAGTAATGCGGAAGTAACGTGAGTTAATTTTTATCGGTAATGGTAATGCATTCTTTTTACTTTGAGGTAACAGGGTTGCAACACCCTCTTATTGATTCAAACTCCAGGAGGCCGCAGGCCGAAATATCAGAAGTTTAAATTGCATAAGACGTTGGTAAAGTTCGAAGCAAATAGTGGTTTTGGCCGAATAATTTCTAATCGAATAGTTTCTCCAAGCCTTTTACTACTGTTGTACTATGCTTGAATGAAAATTCAGCTGAACTCGTGAAGGTGGCTTCTCCACCTCTAAGCTCGGTTAGTTTGAATATAACTATCTATGAAGTGTGGCCTGTGAAAGTCCAATGCCTACATAGGGGTCGCATATAAATGACAGACACCATAAAATTAAACCTAAGGAGGCGCCCAGCTGTTGTAATAAAGGGAATTTATAAATCTGCTTGTTGTATGCAAATATTCTCTCTTCGTTTTCGAATTGAACCCCTCCAGAAAAATACAAAAAAAAAGTATGAATAATGGAAGCTGATTGTCAGGACTGTTCTGCTTGCATAATCATGGTAAGTTAGTCGCATGGAGTGCGCTTCCCACCGAGCACCCGTGTACTGTGGAAAAGCAATGACTTTGAACTCTGCGGGTATCGCTTCCCCGCTGTAGAAAGGTGCTTGTTGAGGAGCGCATTCAACGGGGGCTAACCCGCCGTGGTGAACAAATAGTATGAATTAAGCAAAAATGCCGTTTCAATTAAGCAGCTTATAAATACATTGAAAACGGTGGGACAACCAAAATCTTATAATTTGTTTGAATTGACTGGAAGTATAAAATGTTAGTTTGAATTATTGCAAGTCCACTGTGCTTACTTTTTTTTTTTTTTTTTTTTTTTTTTTTTCGGTAGCTTCTATTATTTGGTCGTGCCAGAAATAGATCCAGGAGTTTTGAGTTTTATAGGGTTTTTCTTTTGTTTCAAGTAATGTTTGCCTGTCTTGCTCATTCTCAGTTTTGAGTGTGGGTTGGAAACTCCCACATTTTGTCACAGTCCTTCGGGCATCGGTACATTCTTTTTATAACTGAATTGTTTTTTCTGTAGTGATTACAGTGATAGAAGGCTGAATCTTGTTTTTCAGCGCTTCCTCAGCAACACCTGAGGATTGTCGGCACGCGTCCCGCTAACCTCGGCGTCCTTTTCCCGAACGTGACTTATTGGGAGCCAGTCGACTTTAATAACAACAAGCTTGTGCTGGTAGCTACCCAAGACGGAAAACTGAGACTGCTTCAGTGGACCAAGGGCATCTACGCTCCTTACGCCACCCTGGACACCCGTTTGACCACTATAAAAGTTAAGGTAAGCAAAGACTTCTCGACTCCTCTCCTCCTCATCTTTTCTCCTATTGCAGTTCATGAAACAACTTGAACGCTTTCATTGTAATTGTCTTATGAATGCAGTACTTAAAGGGACACAGACAGGGGACTTATGGTCGCCAAGGTTTTTATTTGTACCTGACGTACGGGAGTCCAACTATCCTGAAAAGTTTGTGGCTCGAAATTCCTTTACTTTCCACCTGAAAACCACTGATCAAGAACTGGCCGGTTAGTCTCGCTCACTCTTTTCCTTGGTCACGGGCAGTTTTCTGAGGTTTCGACGCGACCACCAAATTTAATCAAAGTCGTCGGTCACTGAAGGCACACTCAATATTAAAAATAGAAAAAATGACACCCATTTTTTTGTGGCTTCTAAAAACTGCAAATACATTGAGAAAAATGTTGCACACCCATGTGACTTCCAGTAACTCTCTCCTCCTCTATATTTCTTCTTCCTCCCCAATTCAGTTTCGTTTTTGTTGCGAGCAGTTGCATATTTTGACGTTATTAAAAATATATGTGATGCTGTAGCAAAACAATGACTGGGTTGTCTTCTGACATCATTATGAATCACCTGGCAAAAAATGAAAGCATTTTGGGCGGTGCAGTGTCTCTTTAAAGCTAAAATATTCAAGTAGTAGTCAAATATGGTGAAGTGTCTGAATGTTTTGTTAATTTTTCACTGTAAAAAGGTAGGTTGCAACTTATCAAATCCCTCAACTCTCTGCTTCCCTGCAGTTAACAGATTTGTCATTAGATTACAGCCTTGTTTGTAAATGTAGACTTGACACGAGTGCGTTTTTAAAATTTTAGAAATGTTGAAGATATCTTGTGGGCTCTATGCCTATACGTGCCATTTTCTTGCAAATCCACTTACTCATAAAAATATACTCTTTTATGCCTATTTTTTTGACAACTTGGAATATAGGCCGCTTGAAATTTAAAACTTGCAATTTTAATTCAAATTGCATGTTGCTGTTTTAATTTAAATTGCATGTTATATGAAGCTCTGCCTCAAATGCGATCGTTGCCTTCTGCCGGGCTTTTGCTGCGCATGCAATGAAATGTTATTGAAGTCAGAATGATCTTGTTTAAGGCCATCTACACTCGTCAACTGGGTTCGTACCCTGTTGCAAACGTCTGCCAAACTTTTGATGGTAATGCTGAACTCGTGATGGTTGTCTTCAAGCTTCCGCTTGTCCATTTCTAAGCCAAGCTAAGTTTAGTCTAATTTTATTTGGACTGTGGCCTCGGAAAGTCTAACGCCTACATTGGGATGGCAGGTAAACAACACATTTGACATCAATTAAACCCAAAAAACCCACTCATTCCTAATCAAGATTAATAAATTTTCTTGCTACATGCAAGTATCCTTTCTTGAACTTGAAAATGAAGACCATCACTAATGATGAATGCAGGTTGTCAAGGCATCTCTGCTCATCATAATCTTGCATGATGGCCAGTTTAATTTTGAAAACTTTACTGCAATGTATATATCAACATTCACAATGTTTACACTTCTTCTTAGACACGCCAGGTGTAGACATGCACAATCCCACTTTGAAAGTGTGCTTTTCTCTATAGTGCACGGCTGCAATATTTATACCTTTCAAAGTCTGGATCGCAGTGGGTTTGCCCAGAGTCGTGTATAAAGCCTGGTCTATGGGAGGAGCAGGCAGAGCCAGGGCATGCACCAGGTGCAGATAGAGGGCTTGGCATGCTCTCTTGGCCAATCAGAAGCAGAAAAGAATCTCCTAGCGGTTGTAGCGAGAAACAGTTTTAATAAGAGCATAAGGGTTAAATGTAGATTCTTCATGGCTGAAAATATGGTGCATATGTTTTGATTATGATCATGCAGAAAGATGTACGAAACTAATGTGCCGCTCAAACTGTTTTGCTTGGACAGCAGATTCTTTGCCCTTGGCGCCTGGCATACGGATTAAGTCGATCGTTCCTCTAGTTGCGCTTTTCCATGCACTGCAAGCACTGGTGCACTGCGGAGAAGTGACATCCACGGAAACGTGCTCCGCGGGTGTTGCTTCTCTGCAGTGCACCAGTGCTTGGTAAGAAGCGAGCTCAACGGGGCAAAAGCCAAAGATCGAATAGCTAATTATTCAAAACTATTAAAAAATTTTAATATTTGCACAATCCTGTTGTAAAACGAAACGAGTAATTGAAGAAGCAAAACTCCGATTTCAGGCATTTGCGTATGGAGAGCATCTCTGGCTGGTATGCCTGCACCAGACTCGTAGTCCCAACGACCAGTTTGTGCGGCTGTACCAGCTTAGAGGAAAGCAGCTGGTCACCAAGCAAACCATCACATTGGGAGGAGAGTCGGACATCGACGTCGTCCGGGGCTCCACGGCCCACCACCTCGTCACTTGTGTCTTCAAGAGCCTGTCTGGCTCCGGCGTGTCTTACGACGGGAAACTCGTGTAAGACTATCCACAACCTCAATTCCGTATTGTTTTCCACCTTGGTAAAACTGCATTGTGTAGTGCCAATGTGACTCAACTAAAGCTCGAGCTATTCGTCTGTACGGTGTCCTCAAGACATGGGTTGATGCGTCCTCTTGATGTGAAATGTTCTTGTGCGAGAGATGTGGGAGCTTCTTGACAAATTGCCCGCTTCATGCTCGGATGTAGTAAATAAAGCTCCAGCTTGTTACTTTAAATACTACAGCTGCTTTTCAAAGTGTCTAAGAGGCTCAAGCAGTTACACACATGCTCCAAGGCTCGGTTCTGTTCAATAACGTGCATTTCTCAATTTGAGGCACTGGAGTTTGTTTCCCAGTTATACATGCAGTCATGGATTGCTTGCTAGAATAATCTAGCTGTTTGGCATAATGAATTGGCATTTGGTTGACCCAGACTAAACTTTTATAAAGCATAAAAAAAAATCCTAAACGTGATGCATAGAATTGAGACAGTGAGTTTCTGGACATGCAGGCAGTGACTTGATTTGTTACCTGAACCATACAGATTGTATATGCACTCAAAATAACTTGGTTACTGGTGAGAGTTCAAAGCGATTCCAGTAGATGTCTAAAATTAACAGAAATGGAACTCGGACGGTCAATAGCTTTTGGTGCTCGGTCTTTTTATTCATCAATTCGTAAATGTTGCTTAGGTTTATCGGGGTTTTGACTTATTTTGAGCTTGGTTCGGACTCTGATTGCGATGCTTCGATTTGTTCCAGCCTTTACGAGTGGAAGAACACCCAGTTTGATGCGGTGTCCCAGCACTCTGTGGTTGGGGCGAAGTCTGTGGTAGCGTGGAGTATGGACGGTCCTCTCTTCATAGCACTGGCACAACAGCGGGACAACGAGGGGGAGCTCTTCATGGGCTCGCCGGTCTTCATGTACAACCAAAGTGAGTGTTCCCAGATTTTTCTCTACTGCAACAACACCGAATTAATGTTCTTGTTCAGTTGTAAAACCATTAAATATTAAGAAGGGTACATAGTTGGGCTGGGCATTCGTTGTGGAGAATAGAAGCGCTAAAGATAATGGACGAATAGAATACCTAACACCACAGAGCCAGACGTTTACTAATAAAAAAAAAAGAAACAAAAACATGTGCACTTTGTGGTGTTTGTTATTCTTATATTTTGATGGTTTTAGTGCTTTTATGTCGGAGGTGAAATATTTACTTGCAAGTCGCAAGGCTGCACTGCCTTAGTTTGCTAGACAGAGTTCAACAGACTTTCTGCTAAATTACCAGAGCGCTGAGGAACATGTTGCTGGCATAGTTACCCCTGGTGATGTCCGCAGCAGTAACTGTTCTAAAGCAAACGGCCCTTTGCATGTGCATTTGGCATTACCTTTTCTTCGTTATATTTACTTTAGATCTTTCATGCAGACTAAAAGTCCGTGCAGCATCTATACCTCTGTTCCCAGCATTTGTTTTTTAGTGCTTGAATAATTTGGTGTACCATTCATTGTTCGAAAAGACCAATCGGGCTACTCGTTCAGCTTGGGCCTATGTGTAGGCTGATCAACCTAAAGGGAGGTTACGTCAAATTTCTGGGAACATTTTTTTTTTGTCTTCAACGAGCGCAGAGTTGCCTTCTATGGTTTGTACTGCAGATTACATCACACTTTCACATCCCATAGTCTTTAGAACGAGGCAGACCTATTTTCACCCTTCCTAAGCGAAGCGGCCTCTGCATTGGAGACACGGTTGGTTAAATCGGTGTTGTGCAAATATTCGAATTTTCGAATAGTAGTTTCGAATTTGCGCTATTCGATGTTCAATTCGAGATGAACTTTGATATTCATACTTTCCAAAGTGTTGATTGGGGCGAGCTAGCCCCGTTGAGTGCACTTTTCACAGAGCGCCTGTGCAGTGTGGGGATGTACTCGCAGAGCTTGTGAGCATTGCTTCCCATAGTGCACGGGTGCTCGGTGAGAGGCACTCAACGGGGCTGACCTGCCTCGATTATACAAGGATCAGTTAAACAGCAATGTTTTGACAACCTGTGCTCATCATTCATGCTTGTTTTAAGTTTTTTGGGGTCATATTTTATATTGCAGACATGTATTCATATAGCAAGCAGATTTATAAACTTTCTCAATTGGGAGAGCTGCAATAATTTCGTTGTTTACATGCTACAGTTACTAAATATAGCTGCGGTATATTAAAATTCACTAGGCTTGGAAGTGGACAAATGGAAGGTTCAGCTGAATTTTCGTCCAAGTGCATGGTACTGAAAAGCTTGGAGAAACTATTCAATTAAAAAATATTCTGTCAAACCTCTTTGCTTTGAACACAAAATTTACTATTTCCACATTACTAAATCGGTGTGAATGACGCTTTTCATTTAGTTGTCTCCCAAGTAGGACCATTTATGGAACTTCTGTTTACTAGCCTTTGAAAACAATATTAAGAGTATTTTTGAAACCGAACGCCTTGTTTCTTGGTTTGTGTAAAAAGCTATCTTCTGGATAATTCCTTTCACAATCTCTATGGGATTACATTGCCCCAGAACATTCTTCACTTTCATGCAGCAATTTGTTCGAATTGCTATACAAAAATTTTTACTTTTATTTCCCCCCCTTCCCCTTTAGGGAGGGAGCATGAGTTAAGCTATGTCCAGGTGATGAGACTGTGGCAAGCATTCAAGGTGAACCACTTCACCGTTGCTGGGATTCACTACCTCACCTTCCTCACCAAGCAAGGAGTCTTCCTCTACTGGTACTCTGGTATGCATAATTTACATTTTGGTCCTGCTTAAGAGCAACTTTGTTGGTCAAACATCTTGATACAATGCAGATTGTTGAGCATATGAAGCAAAAGTTGGTGAGGCAGACTTGGCCTACACTTTAATTCTTGGATAATGGTGCCAGGCGTTTTGCTAATTAGTTTTTTTTGTGCGTGTGCAGGAGACCAGTTCCTTGAATGGCAGACCTTGCTGGACACAGAAAACGCTGATAATGTTGAAGTTTTCAACCTGCCAAATGGTGAAGCTGCCATTGCAGTTGTTCGAAAGGTGAACCTTCAGTGCTTAGGAAATTTCCCACTCCTGACCGTGAATACTCAAACTTTTAAAGCATTGATTAGAGTAATTTTCTATACAGTTAGACTTCCTGACTGAGCGATAGGACAAGAAAAATTTAGATAATTTCTAAGAGTAGTTTGGCAAGGTGAATCTGTTTTGCTCCATTAAGTGTGCTTCCCCCATGACATGGCTGCATTGTGGCAATGCAACATCTGTGGTTCCAGTGTTGTGAATTCTTCTCTCCTGCAGCTACTTTCAAGACCGGTTATAACGAAGTCAACGGGAATTGGAAATCACTTTGCTATATCCGCTATTTCGTTATAACAGACTTCGGTTATAACGAAGTGTGAAAGGGAATGGGAAATCGTGATCACTTCACTGTAGCCGGATCGTTATAACAGACTTCGCTATACTAAACGGTCTCGACAGTATGTGAGAATAAGAAATTTCTCATTTGAAGCAGGCTGATATTTTGTGAAAGTATAGAACAAGCTTGCTTACACAAATATGCCAATTAATTTTTCCACCAAAAATAAGTGTAGCAAAAGATGCTGCAGATGCAAGTATCGATGACAGCACTGCAGGTGTTGCTTATTTGCGGTGCACCTTGGATGAATGAGCACACTCGATGGATCTCTTCCAGGTTATGTTGAATTATAGTAGAGCAGCAATTTTATTACGTTAATTACATTAACTTAATTGTAAAATAAATTGCTAATATTCATATTGATCACCTTTCCCACATCAATATCTACAAGTGCAAAGTTTTGACAAATCTCTAAATTAATACCATAATTGCGGCTTCCATTATTGGGAGTTCTTTCGTGAGAAATATTCTGGGTCTTGTCCGAAACATGTCTATACATGCCAGTTGTATTGGATTACCCTAGTTCTAAATTTGAGTTTCAATTCACTTCAAAATTAATGACAAAATTATACTCTTAGTATTAGTTTTGTACCGTGCTTGCTACTTGTCCAACAACCTCTTAGTAGATCAGCACAAAAGGTAGGACAAACATGTTCAATTTAAATCTCAAACTGAGGAAGGGAACTGAGAAGAATGACCAATGGACCCTTGTGGAAGTTGTCATGTTTTACCGAAATGACATAAATGGGTAAAAAAATAAAAACCTATTAATGTACTTTGAACAATCCTCGAATAGGTTTTTGTTAGCATAGACTGACTAGACGAAGATATAGTTGTAATTAGCATGAAGCGATTCGAGTTAGATTTGGTGGTGGCAATGGGCTTTTAACCCCATGGTTTGACCTTTAGCTTCAGCTGTATCAGTGCTAGAATTCAGAGTTGCTGGTCATCTCGAGCTTCGTCTGAAATCACGGGGAACCAGTTTCAGTCTTTCAGAAATGTTGGTACAGTCCGGGGCAGCGCACAACAATATCGTCAAAGCTTTTTGACGCGACATCTAAGGCTCAAAAAGTTAAATCTTCGAATTGTAACAATTGCCAATTATGCCCGCTCTGCATTATAAGCACCAAAATGGTGGCAATCGCATTAAAATCGGGGAATTGAGTGTCTCTAGTCTAGGCCTGGCTTATCTAAGGGCTTTACGCTTTGTTTTGCCTTATGTCCAGACGCAGCAGCTGCTACAAGCTGACGGGACCAGTCGGACACCGTCAAAAGCGCACCATAATGGTGTTCGTTCTGGACATGTTCTATCACTGCTGAAGTAATCGTAAACAAAATAACCCTGCCACTTGCATTTTTTTATGCTGCTCAATTCGTCCCATTACCTTGTAGCATTGGCTGCTTCAGGGCCTAAGCTGAAACAAAGTACTGTCAAGACGGCTTATAACGAATTCAACGGGAATCAGAAATCACTTCACTATATCCGCTATTTCGTTATAACAGACTTCGATTAACGAAGTACAAAACGGAATAGGAAATTGTGATCGCTTCGCTGTAACCGCCATTTCGTTATAACCGGCTTCATTATAACCGGTCTCGACAGCGTGGTTCGAGTCACGAGATCCAATTACGTGCACTCCCAGAGGGAGAGATATGGAACATGTTGTCAACTTCTCGGATGTCAAATTGGTCCTTCGTGTGTGAACTCTCCTTCTGCAGGATGAGGTGATGTTCTTCCTGGAGTCTGAATCTGCAACCTACAACCACACGTTTACGCTGAGGATGTCTGGAGTTGTCCTGTCCAGGGTGTCCTTCCAGTGGATTGAGGGGAGCTACTACCTCTATGCCACACATGCAGCCCAGGCAGTCACCAAGGTCTCCGCCCCAGTTCAGCTGGTGCTGGAGAGCTTCAGCTTTGGTGAGACCATTGTTATACTGTCATCAGTTGCCTAGGGTACAGCTGCCAGTAATCGTGAGAGTTCAAGACTGTTTACCTTGGGAAGTTCAAGTGATCCTTCTACAACCATCATGTAATCTGTTAGTGTCTTGTGGTAGACATGTTTCACAAAGGGTATCTCTTTAAAAAATTGCTCTGTCACTTTACCATACTGTTGCTTTTGTGTCCTCATTCCTAGCTTGAACAGCTCTTGATTGCAACATCCTGTTGAGATGATGCATAACACACACTGGTCACTTGTTCAATAGATGTTTTAAGACTGTAAAAAAAATCCAGAGCTGCAGCAGTGATTAAATCTGGATTTTATTATGTGCCTCAAGTGCAGTTTTGTGGTTTTAATTCAGTGGAAACTGGGCCAGTTATAAAGGTCTTGGAGGCTGGGGGTCTATTGCCAACACTTTGTGAAAGTTAGTCTTGGCTTTGATAAAGTTGTTTCTGCGCAGCATCGTCAAGCAGGACTGACCCACTGCTCCAGTGTCTGCATGGACTCGAGGGCTCCCTGTCTCGCCGACAGAAGAATGTGGATCGGCTGGCTGCCAACATTGGTCGTGTCTGGACCTCGGACCGGCAGAAACCTCTTGCCGCCGAGATGGTGATCATTGACGGTCCGGTGCGGGTCTTAGGTTCAGCAAGTGCTCCAAAGGCGGTGATAACCCCCGGAGCGCAGAGGGTACCCGGAGTCACCCCCGATGACGTGGCCAAGCAGATTGAGAAGGTAAAGGCAAGCGTAGCAGGCATGGAGAACGACCTGAAGAACGTGGTTTACAAGTCGGTTCCCCAGACCATCAGAGGTGAGTGTTTGCGCTGCAGTCAGCTGGACCAATTGTGTAAAAGTTGGATTTTGCAACACTGCAATTTGCTGCTTTTAACACAGTAGCACTTCAACTGCCATCCTTTACAGTTAAGGGTAACGCTTATTAACCGTATGGAATTGTATAATTGCTTGCAGCTTTGAGTAGACTCCACGCAAAACACTGGGTGTTAGATGCCTTTAACCTCTATAGGGAAGTATTTTACCTAAAAAGCAACTCGTTCACTTGGGACGACAACTGTGAGACAATCTTGCTTTCTTGTTTTTCAGGTTAACTTCATCTGAATTAACTTTGCATTAATTTCCCTTGATTAAAATCTACACTTCACTGCACCCATATTTCTGCACCTGACATAAGTGCGGGTCTTCAAAATTCTTCCCTTGCGAACACATTATGGTAGTGAAAACTTCTCTGTAAATCCAACAATTGAGCCCTCTGTGTAACGTCCCCCAGACCTTTACTGATCATACGCATGGGAGCGCATTTAATTGTCACATGCGACTGGTTTCCCTGCAGGAAATCTCAAATACACAAGACCTGTTGGAGCTTCGAATCTGCGTGTGCGCGACCTTTCCAACTCCACACTGAACGGGGTTCCACTCGCAGACCTGTTTAAAAACACGCTGAAGATCACTGGCAACCAAATTCTCAATCAGCCAATCTCTTTCGGTAACCTCTACGTCAACCAGCTGACCGTCAACTCCATCAACAGCATCAAAGTTTCAGGTGTGGTGTTTGTCTCAAGTGGTTAATTTACTGAGGTCGTTGGATATTTTCCCATTCCAGATTACAATGTGTTCGATTTTTTTTTGGTTCTCAAGGTTCAATGTTTGTGTTTACCTTATGCAGAGTACTTGTGTTCCTATGAAACGGAATGTTGTTTCATAGGTAGTTTGAATTGGTTGCTTTTTTCTTCATACAGTGTCTGGAAGTTGGTGTCATCACTTTTGTCTATTTAATGTTTTGTTATTCTTTGTCTTTAAAACAGGCACAAATTCTAGCATTTTAAAGGGTAAAACTGCAAAGAAATTTTTTTTTTTTTAAATTGCCTATTTGGGACGAGCTTGTTGCAAAACAAATCTTCCACGAAAAAACAAATTTTTCTAGCAATATTTACACCACAGGACGTAATTTAGTCGGGGTCACAACTTCTCCCCATTTGAAACTCCCGCTCTCTCGACGCTTCCGGAGTGGCTGTTATACGTCACACCGTGACGTATAGCAGCCACTCTGTGACATATAATGCCAACTTTGCGGCGCGGAATTTAAAACTGACTAAATAGCCGCAAACTAAAATTCGCGCAATAAATATTGCCGTAAAAAATTTTGTTTTTGGTGGAAAAATTGTTTCGTGACATGCTTGTCCTAATTAGGCTGTTTAAAAATACTTTTTTTCTTTGCAGTTGCCCATTAAGACTTCAATTCAACATTTATTTTCCTTGCTTCAGTACATTGCAGACATCTTATTTTTCTGCAACAGATTTTGTTCTCGATATAGCAGGTTTTAAGCAACCCGCGAGTGCTACCAGTCTTGTTTCTAGATGCTCTTTGAAGATGCATATACATTTCAGTGTATCAACGTGCTACGTACATGCACATTTGTTTCCTTATTTGCTGGAAATGTCTTATGCTCGCTAGAGAAAGTAACTGGTCAAGTTTGTTTTCTTTTCCTCCCACAGATGTCATGATGACCAATAAGGACCAGGTCGTAGTGGGTAACCTCAGGTTCGGCCATGTTGCAATGACTGACCTTCTTGTTGCGAAAGGTCACAAGATAAACGATGTGGATCCTAGCATGGTTGTGACTACGGACACTCCGCAGACCATTACTGGCCGCAAAAATTTTGCAAAGCTCAACGTCCCGAGCGACTTGCACGTTCTGGCCACTACCAATGGGGCAAGTTTTTTGTCCTCGTTCGAACATGTGGTCTTTCTCAGAGGAAGCCTTCGGCATACATTCATTTATATCCTCGCAAAAACACTTCAATTTTTTTTTTTTTTTTTTCAATTTTAATAAGGAAAATGACTTTGAGCCTTTCGGGAGGGCAGGGCAGTACTAATATGGCGAGTAAAGAATGGCACTTAATTCTTAAAGCCTACAGCCGACTTCAGAGGTTCGGAGAAGCCAAATTAGATGTGAACATAGTTCTGCCTCCCCTTAAATTATGGCAGTGCCGATTAAGTGCCCAAGAGGAGTAATTTAGTTGGTTCGGTACTACAACCAATGACCTGGGATCCTTAACGTGCAGCGACGATTGCACACCGGCGTGCTAGTACGACACTCGCCAGAAACGCATGGAGGACGGAGGTAGAGTTTTATATTGGCAGCTTTTGTGCCTCTGACGCTCCTTGAGCCGAGATGCACACTTGGCTCACCCAATTGGAAGTTAACTTGTCCTATAATTTGGCTACTACTGATATTTTTCTTTTACGCACAGTGTAAGTCGACTGCCGGGTGGGAACGGCAGAGTTGTCCCTTGGTTGTGCCACCACCAGCGCTAGCTTCCTCCCTTTAATGATCACTAATTATTAATGCGAAAGCATTAACTGTCCCATGGAGTGAGCAGACATCATCAGCTGCCACGCCAAACAGAAAATAAATTCCCCTCCCAGTGAAGCAGACCTCTGATAAATAGGGCTCCCATTGGCTTGCATGCATCATAGTTTATTGGAACGAGGCTCCCATTGGTTGAGGCTTGTCAGTTTCAAGGAGAGCCACCCCATAGTGCTACGTGCCTGCGCCAGAGCGCACAGGGAAAAGGAGGCATTTGGCTGGCAGGGCTTCCCAGACAGCCTGCTCAAGCATACTCCAGAGCGCAGCGCGGTCTCTTCAGGAGACTGCGCGCAAGAATGACGTTGATGCTTTCGCATTCACAACTCGTAAGAAGTGCTTAGGTGTTTCTTGAGCTTTTATCTATTTATCTAGTTAATTCTCTGCAGACAGCATGAGCTTCCTTCCTTCAAAAATGAACAAAATGAAATGTTCCTGCGTCTCGCGAGCCTCAAGTGTGCATGTACATTCAATACAAGACTGTGGGCAGCAGACACGTACCGGGGGCCGAACTTGCGAAGCGGCTCCCCGTTCTTGTCCTGTCAATAACCGTATATATTAGCGTGCCACTCAACTCGCAATTCAAGGCTGCAACTCTGCCTTTTTTCAATTCGCGGGCAATTTACGACGGGCGATGTTGTGCTTGTCCACCTAAACTTTTTCCCCCCGCTTCCGCTTTTTGTAGAGGGACCTGTCTGATTTCGCCCGAAAGTTGGTACCCCTGCACGGCAACAGCGAGGTGACCGGAACGTGGAGCTTCCAGAGCCCGCTCACGGTCGGCTCCGGACTGCACCTGAAGCACCCCATCGACAGCAAGTACAGCATTCCGGCGCTGTACGCCGAGGCGGTGGACAAACACAGCCACCAAATTATCGGGGGTGAGCACCTACTGTTCATTTGCATAATTTTCAAATTCCGGACACGTTGCGAGCCCTCAACGTGGCTCCCTGAAAACCCAGTGCCTGCGGCGTGTTGCGCCTTCAGGTTCTCCTCTTGGACTATACACTCCGTGCGGCGCGCCGCCGCCCGGCCGTTACTGAAGGTAGGCAGTGAGAGCCCCTGCGAAACGAAACCACCCCGCGTACATTGGTACGCATCGAAGTCTGAGCGATGCGGTTGTGCCAGGTTGACAGCATGAACTGCTGCGTCGTTAAGTGCTCCAATAATTATGCGTCGTATCTCGTGGGGACAAAGTTCCAGTTTTTCACCTCGCCGATGTTTTGTGGGACAGCGACAACGATGGACCCGTGCCGTACGACGCGAGAAATTTGGTCTCCCGATCATGTCTGCCACTGTGTTGGCACGGCTGACATATTCACTTTGCGCTCTGCGTTTGTTTTTTTACCAGTAACGCCTACATATCTCAGCTCAAACTGAAATGCCATCCCACACTCGCGGGTATGCAGTGCGAAATTCGTTGAAGGAATGCCATCGAAAGAAGTTTCGTCCCCATCGTACGTGTTGATATTTCCGGACCCGTATGGCACGCAGTCTGTACTTCATGAAGAAAGATTACGACGGTACAAAAAGTGACAAATGTGAATCTAAGGAAAACTACAATGAAATTTGGAATCACTGGACAATCGATGTTTGAGTATGGAAGTTTATGTGGTGTGCTTTCTTTTTTGATCAGCCTCCTTTTGGATGTGGAGACGCTGACACCCCGAGTCTTGTAGACAACAATTTTTTTTCTCGGCTTTAGGGCCACCTATCGCAAAGTTCTTCGAACTGGAAGTACCGTCCACTGGTCCCTTCCTATACCCAGGGCTTAAAGCTTAGGAGGTCTCAGGGGGTCTCGACCCCCCTCCCCCCCCCCCCCCTGATTTTAACGGATGGCCTGAGACCCTCCTCCACAGCCCCAGAATTGGTGAAATCAAAATCATATCTTGCAATAAGATAGATTGTTTTCAGGGGTGTGACATTTGGGGTTAAGGGTTGCAGGTACAGCGTGGACACGGTCAGCAGTGAGGTTTATTTATGTGCATCTATTACATCTCATCAAACTCCCCCCCCTTTCCCCTACCTTCTTGTAGGGACCCCTCTCAGTTTACGGGGACTTTAAGCACTGCTCCTATCTGTAAAGTGTGCACCTCCTGGTCATGATAAGTGGTATTCTCTTGACAGCCTTTGACGATCAAAACCGGTTCCCATTTAGTTACGCCGCCCAAAAATATTTCCACCTGGTTAAACTATACCACCTCTTTTAGGTATATTAACTGTTTTGCCAAATTATGGGTGGTAAAGTACCTGTGTGCCGAAAAATATTACTACACAACAGCTTACCGCAAAAGCCTTTGACGGCCAAACCGTGTGTTAGCCGGCAACTTGGGTTTCTCTTCTTTGAAGCCACCTTTCGTAAAGTTGCTTCAATTGGAAGTACAGTGCACTAGTCACTTTTTACCTGTAAAGTCTCCATCTCCCACGACGAGTGGTATTCTCTTGACAGCCCTTTCACGGTCAAAACCGTTTCCCATTCAGTTACGCCGCCCAAACCAAATTTACACCTGGCTTCCCTATGCCACCCATTTTCGGTATTATAACTGTTGTGTCAAGTTACGGTCATGTCCAAAAACCTATGTGTCCAAGTCTGCACTTCACACAGCCCAGTTATATATAACACAACATTTTGGGTTCAATATTGAATACTCCTGACAGCCTTATTCCTCTATTCGTTGGAACCATAACTTTCACACCTGCTGTCTTAATAAAACTTGGCCCACATAGTACACAAACTTAGTGAACATCTCACTCGCCTCCAAATATCGTCGTTACAGCAGTCCTACGTTTACAGCGACGAGCGAACAAATTTCCCACTGAGGGCCATTATGGTGGCGGCCGTCTTGCTTTTCGGAAAATTGCTCAAATCCCTTTTTCGACCGCAACTAAAGAAATTACCCCTAATAACTACTCAAACTCAATATATAAGAAGCAAAGAACAGCTAAATGCCCTTGTTAAATCTGCCCCAGCACTCGTGCAACGTCACCCTCAACTCATCGGCTCAAACAGCAAAAGTTCCGTCCGTGCGCGCTTCCGCCGCCACAGCTTCGCACGCGAAAAGGCGCCGCAGGCTGCTGAGCGCGCCTCACTTTCGAACGCCAGCTCCTCCGCTAGCGGTGCTACGCGCGTTTTTCAAAGCGCCCCCTATAGTTCCCGCACGGAGCGTATAGACCAGCGTCTGCTCCGTTCCCCGGGTGCTACCATGTTTATGCTGATGCTGTGACACTGTAGGAGGGGCTGCGCTTTTTGAGACTGTTTTTTTTTTTAAGAAACCTTCACGCATATCGTAGTCAGTGTCAGAAATGCATAGTCACGAAGCTCCAAGAACACTGATGCTGGGAGTGCCATAAAAAGCAAAAATTGTTTTATGCCTGGCTCCTCTTCACGTGAGCCTGTCTTTAAGACTATTTCCCATTTTTATAGCTGAGGGGCTAGGTTTTAGGACACTGGTCTGCACTTTATTTCAACTTAGCAGAGCCCAAAACTGCAAGGTCGTGGTGCATTAACAGAGCTCGATGTTTTATCTGGAGTCCGCACGAAGACTATGGACATGGTAACCTATTACTTTTCATTTTTTATTGGCTCAGTCTGCTCGTAGCGTCGGCTCAAATAAGGTACTGTGGGGTCTCCGGTTCGGAATATTCAGGGCCACCAGGCCTAAAAACAATGTGCACCCCATTGTACATTACATCTATTGTACTTCAATCTTACCTGTCTGAATCGACTCTTCAGCATTTAAAAGCCTGACATTGAGTAAACTGCAGTTGTCTTTTATTGCCCGTACAAGGTATTGCTACAACCATCCATGCTTGCCGACTGCAATACGGAGATGTATAGACCCTCCAAAATTGCTACAAGGGGGAGTTAAATTCAAGGACTCCAAATGCATTTCAGGTGCAAAGAGCTACGACGCCCCCGTGACGGTCCGTGGCAACGTCGAAGTTGGCGGCACCCTCAACGGCATCAGACCGAACCTTGACCTGGTGACTCTGGGAGGCGATCAGACAATCGGCGGTACGTGGACCGTCAAGGATGCCATCCACTTCAAGAAGAACCTGAACACCGGATCCATCAACGGTCTGAACCTTGCCAAGGAAGCCGTGCGCAGGAGCAAGGGGCCGCAAATCGTCTACGGCACAAAGATCTTCGGTGCCGATGTCAATGTGACTGGGGACATCACCATGACCCCTGGCAGCACCATCGACGGAGTTGATCCATCGGAACTCGGCAAGAGTGTTGGCCGGGCTGTTGTATACGACAGTGCCGTAAGCATAGAGTCGATGGTTGTTGTTGGCAACGTTGTGGCACAGAAGGGAATCAATGACCACATGCTACGAGATCTGCAAAACCACGTCTGGCTCAAGTCCATCAACCAGGTGACTCCTAGTGGGTGGCAGAGCTGTTTCTAGCTGGTCACTTTTGTTTTGCAGATTTCAAAGTAGATATGCAATCCCCCTAATAGCAAAGGTGCAAGCAATAGGCAAATGTTACCGATGTAGGTATGAGATGTTTGTATACTAGATAATTTCACATGAAAAGTCATACTTAACAGTGACTTTATGCTAAAACTTCAGCCGTGTAAATACTCGTGCTCAGATGGTAGGTATGGTTCAGTAACTACCGTAAAATCCTGAGCAAGTGCTCAATCAAAATGCAGAGATAAATCGCGTAAAACTGGGGAATGAGACTGAAGATGGCAATTTCGTGTTTCGCGCAGGACATCAAGGTACCTGTGAAATTCGACAATGTCCATGTGGAGGGCGACGTAGATACGGACACAATCAATGGGATCAGCTTGGACCAGGACATTGTGAAGACTTTCGGTGACGAGCTTCTGGAAGGACCTGTGACCTTCAAGGACTCCATCTACGTGAAGGGGCCTGTGGAACTGGCACCAGGAGTGCCGATCAACGGCGTAGATCTCTCGGAAGCCGCCAAACTGGTGAGGCCTTAACTGGCATACCGACTGGGCAATGAAGTTTCATTCGGCGGGGAGTGCCATTTTGAGCAGAATTCTCGGAACTCTGAGACAGCTTGCAGCCGCTATTGTTGGACCCGATTTCCAGCCCAAACGTCCTAGCCCACGCCAAACTATGATGCAGCATTGGTGTCCAATCGATTCAAGGCATGGCCTGCCCAAAGTTGCCGTTCTAATAGAGCTGTTTTATCGGCAGATTTTCACGATCTGCAACGTTTTGGGCGTAATATTTGGCCGTAACGAGAAACATGCGGCAAAAGCGTTCCACCCATTGGGAACCATATAAAAGGCTTGAGTTCCCCCAGCAGGGATCTGAGCTCTCAAATTTGAGATTGTGAGCCAACTGCTTTACCTACTGAGCTAGCATGGGACGGCGTTTACTCTCGGCGGGAAGAGGCCCCTTTGTGTGGCGTTCGAAGTCTGCGTGCCCAGGCGATAGACATGCGCCTCATGGCCTTGAAAGCGTGTGGGCAGGTCATGCTGTGCCATCTCGTGGCATTTGTCAAAAATTGGAGCGTATCTTCAACACACTTGCTTTGTAGCAAGGCGGTGCCGTTCTAATGACTCTTCCACGGTAGATAGAGGCAAGCTTATAGAGAATGTAGGAAATGGCAGAAGCAGCAACGAGAGCCTTGACCAGGGACCGTAAGTGGACTTATTTAACTGTCAGCATGATCGAGCCTGTACACGTTTTTGACCACCAGTCACGCTGACTAGCAGCAGACGGAGGCGCCTTCTGTTCACTGCCTTGGGTCTATACCAGTTCCATATTGCATTCATATTTGTTATACACCGGCTATATTGGGAGGAGGGTTTGATTTTTCAGTCTTTTCTAGAAAGGGGATTGGAGATTGACTGGATTTAGGCAGTTCTGTAGTTGTGGATGACTTCAGCATGACTATAGTTTACCTTTAGGGGACTTTCTGTCTACATGGCTGATCAGTACTTTGTCGCAGATACTTATGCTTCAGACAACTAGAGTGTAAAGCTGGTTGTTTGTCGCATCACCGTAGCCGAAGCTGTTTATGAATGAGTATTAATTTCTTGGACATTGTAACCCTTGAGTGAGGGACCCCCCACCCCCCCCCCTTCGGAAAAAAAAAACAAACACGGACAGACTCAATTTTTTTTGTTCCCTTGCTTCAGGGTTACTATGTGTATCCTTAACCAGCTCGCCTGTCTACCTTGCTTTAACTTAAATTCTTGCCTAAACAGTTTGTCGTCGGCAATGGTTCGGAACATTTGAAACTATGTAGTATGTTTGCAAACACTAAGATGCCAATATCTTTATGTGAATTCCCTCGAGAATTTTTAAGTAAATTTTAAAAAAGCATGCTCTTTGCAATAACATGCAAAGTTTGATCCTCAAGGGCAATGCTAGAAGCGGTTACGCTTCCTTTTTGTTTTCTATGATCCTGCTTTGACAGTTATTCTGATCATGGGCACACCACTAGACAAGCATCCATGGAGTTGTCGTGCCAACATTCCGTTGAACTGCGCAGGTGGCGAGAGCTCATCGCAATGGCGTCATCCACGGCAACGTTAGCTTCCCGTCGTTCGTCGTCCAAAAGAATATTCACTGCGAGACAGTAAATGGTCGGAGCTTGCAAAAACAGTACCTCTTGGTTGGCGGCGAGCAGGTGATGTCGGGGACTCCTGCGTTTTCCCAGCCAATCTCCGTGAAGCATCTCGGCGCAGACTCAATTAGTCCCGTGCTCTTCAACGGTGTCGACTTCAAGGGATTTCTCAGCGACGTGGTACTCCAAAACTCCTCTCGGCAGGGGATTGTTACCAATAAGCACTTTGCTGGTGGTGTTGACGGTAAGTAAATTTGGAGTCTGATTTCACGAGAATGGTTTGCAAGTGTCGGTGAGGCCATCAGTTTTGAGTAGTCGGTTTGTTGTGAATCTGACAACCTTTCTACTATTTCCTTATAAAGAGAGACCTGAAAAATCTTTAGGTAGGCTGAAAATTAGTTTATCAGTGGGAAGGAGAGGTGCCAGCACCATGCAAAATTTGCAGAACTTGATCAGGTTCAAAAGTTTGGGAGAACAAATTGAACCTTTGAACTTGGTTTAATACGTGCCTAGCATACTGCGGAGAGGACAAAATAGGGGCCATTCCCCGAATTATGGCCTTTTCATTAACCAACATGATAACCATCCGTGGCCGAATGGTTATCATGCTGGGTTCGGGTCCATATCACATGAGCGAATGATGTTTTAGCAAACAGGGACATTTGAGCGAATCGACGTTTTAGCGAAAAAAGGGGGCGTGCGTTAACCCATCTACCGCGCTGCACTTGCGCCGCTTCGCGGCGACAGTCTGCGGCGGCTCAGTACAAAAATGTGAACTCGCTTGACCCACCCAAAAACGCCGCTTTGCGGCGTCCGACTATTCGCTGAAGTGTCATTCGGTGAAATATGGGCGTTCGCTAAAACTTCAATCGATCAACTGAGTGCTTCTCCTGGGCTCCCATGCAAAAGGCCAAGGTTGGCTCGGAGTGGACATACCTGTTTGTTATTTCTGTAAATGCGGCGTTCTGGTAAATTGCTTGTTCGAGGTCCGAATGTTCTACGTGCCACACCTACAGATTGTTCCAGAAGCCCATGCGTGTACGTAACTGGCTCCGCATGGCGAGCTGGAGCAACTCTTTTGCGTGTGCTTCATCCTGCTGTCCATCATCAATGCCTGCTGTTCGCCATTCATTTTTGTTCCGTTTTGGCACAAGTTTGCCACAAACGTTTAGTTTCTCCGGTATTTGCCACCTCATCATTTGTCATTCGTGACAATATTCATTAGTTGTGGCAGCCTGATTCAGTCCGTTCTCGAGTCTTTTTTTGTCCCATGAATTCGGTTGTGCAGACACTTCTAAAACCTTCAGCGCACCAATCCAGTTGCAGCACTTTTTTTTTGACAAGCCACTCTCATAACGAGAAGCTATACGAAAACTGCAAGAAGCTTTTTATGTGCAGTAATTTTCAAGTTCAGAAATTGCAAACGGTGCATTATCTGTGCCCACCCCAAAGTAAACGGGTTGCCTTTTCAGCCTTCCACCTTCAGAGTTCCGGCTCCATAGACGGGGTGAACGTGGCAGAGTTGCTGAACGGAGTTGCTCTGCTGAACGTGCCTCAAGACATTAAAGGCACAAAGACCTTCCAGAGCCCGCTTCGGCTAAAGTCTCTCCTTGCGAACAAGGTCAACGGCATGGACATTGGGGAGCACGTTCGGAGGGTTGTGCGACGGGACGAGCATCAAGTGATCACGGGAAAGAAAACTGTGCAAGGGTAAGATTCAGCTTCAAAATTTCGAAGGGAACTCAAAATACCTAGCTAGATATACTCGAAGGACATACTCGAAATTGGACTTGGAATAATTGGAACCACTTGAATATTGGGAAAAAGTTTCACAGTGCGAACAAATTTGCAGTGCAAATTTTTTATTATTCAATGCTTACAATTGGTATAGGACAGCACCCCAGCATATCAAATTTGAGAAGAGTGATCCAGAAAAATTCTGACCACGCTTTTTGAAGTTTTGAACGGCACTTGACAGGTGGCGACGCATTTGCACAAGGGTGCTCTAATTTAGAATTGTGGCCGCATTTGGTTGAGTTGTGTACATTTGGCATCGAAACTGCCAAGCACAGAGCGGTGCACTCCAGACCCCAAGCTGCAAAATAGGGGCTTTCGGTTCGACGGCTCAAGCGCTGCCTGCTCCGCATTGTTGCGCGGTCCTCCGAAAGTAATTTAGGAGCTGAATTCTTGCGCTTGCTTCCGTTGAGGATTGCAAGCCTAAAAGCGGCTCAGTGCAGTCCTATCCTCGGTCTGCGTACCACATCGCATGCTTTAGCATGAACGTTCGAAATTATTTTCTCTGAATCTGTTCTCCTTTCGTTCATTACTTTTTTTAGCTCTTCCACTAAATCGAAGCCAACTGAATAAAAATATTTGCATGAAATCCCAGGAGTCTTGCGCGATGATATATATTTTAGGATTCATTCGGACATAAAATATCTCAATTGGTAGCGTCCTTACGAGGTTGGTGCTGCTTCCGCAAGCGGCAGGAAGCTTTAAGGGATGGTATAATTTGTATCTGACCCACATTCATTACCATGGAATCGCAAGCTGCAGTTGCGTTCCCATTGTGAAGGCAATTTATTGGAAGTGCAGAGATAACAAGCACTTAAATTGGTGGCGGTAAAGAAGCATAATACTCGAACAAGAAAATGCGTAGCTTCCTGAACACACTAGTGGTTCTGCGCAAGTACCAAGGCAAGTGTGAGAGTTCAGCAACTAAATTCCTCTCCGAAGAATGCGCAATAATCTGGAGCAGACTGCGTGTGGGCCGCCACACCGTTTGCCTTGCTTTCGCAGCATGGAGTCGCAGAGCGAGTCGCTGGCAGCCGGCGGTCTGCAGAAGGGTCAGCACAAATGTTGACATCTTTCCAGCACTGCACAATAGCGGCGCATGCTCGGGTGCGCTATCTAGGGCCCAGCGTCAACCGGCAGATGTCTTGAGCACAGTCCAGAGAGCACCGCTACTGCATTCTAGGCTAGCTTGACGGCGGGTGTACAATGCACAACGCTTTTAGCGCAAAGGCTATGTCGCCGCGTTTTTGCAGTGAACTTTAAACTAACTAAATAAATTTTTACTTCAGCTGATGCCCAAATATGTGCACCTTCCACCACCCAAGTAACTTCGATGGCAGCCCTTCTGTTTCAAACGAAAAATAGATTGTCGATTGCTTGTTTAAGCTAACTGTGTTGCGCGGTGCACTCGGAAGGTGGTGCTCGTATGCCTTCATTCATCCAGTAACCAGGGTGCAAGCGGAACTTGGTACTTTGATTGGAGTTGCTTCATGTCACCCCAGCGGCTTTCAACCCCTTAACTCGCTGAACTTCTGCTGCAGGAGGGTTCTTGTTGGTGGCCACGTGACGACCCACGGGCCAGTGAATGGTGTCCACATGAAGGACCTCTACGCACGAGCAATGTCAAGGAGCCAGGAGAACCTCGTCTCAGCCCCTATGACGTTCCTCGGAGGAATTGATGTTGGTAAGTGGATTGGCTTTGAGCCCACCTTGATTAAGTGCAGTAGCATTTCTGAGCGAACCCTAAGCACTCTCGCGTCCACATACCTGTGGACAATGAAGCGGGCAGCTCTCATCTGTTGCACGCCTACCTACTTCAATTTTGCAGCCAGGGGTGATGCACCCAATAAATGTGATACAATATATTAGCTTCTGAACGTCAAATAGTCACCAAGGGTTGTTTGTATAAATCTTGGTTATATTTGTATACATACCATGTTTATATGCACATTTAGTAAGAGAAACATTTGAATTGCAGTACCGTAGTACTACAGCAAAAGTGGTTCGTTGCGGGAGGCCTGTCCACGGGAATTAGTCGGATGAGAAAATTGTGAATTGGTTTTAAATGTGATAGAAGGCTTCGTGCATATTGACGAAACATTTTCCTAGAATTTTTCCAGCAGCTCCTAAACAATTCAAAAATTAAATTTTCATTAAAAGACTGTTACAAAAACGCTACCGCATTTCAATGACAATCTGTGCGAAGAATTTTACGACACTGTCTTAATGAAATGTATTGTGGGCCCTCTCTAGAACACCTGCAGGTGTACGACCCGGCAAAACTTGACGGAATCCAGATGAAGAATGTCGTTCTGCTCAAGGAAGACTCTGTGCTCGGTGGGAATGTGGTGTTCAAGAGCCTTCTCGCCGACGGCCACACTAAAGTTAGCGGCTTGGTGAACGGCTGCAACCTCACAAAGGCAAGTTCACCTGTACCTGTCGTAATAGTCTTCTCCGAGGGCGTTGGGAACCTTGCAGCTGAGGCAGTTAACAACTGTGCTTCTTAGTGCCTCATCTCTTCACTCCTGCCCATTTCGATCTGGATGAGCATTGTACTGGCATGCGTTCATATATCGTTAATGGGTGCACGTTAACAGCGTGGACCACTGTCTCCGTACTTCAAAGGCAGATCGATCCTACATTAACGTCAGATTTCCTCTTATCTCCAAGGCCTTCAATGGTAGAATATTGTGTGAACGAGTTCCAGTTCTGCAGCTGTAACTTGTATCCATGCATCCCAAAACTGGCTGGCCCGCACCACAGCTAACTTTCTCGCAACTTCGTAGGACACTGATGTAGTGAACTTCTGAGTCTATGAATTTCAAAAGCAGCCTTCCACTGTTTGTACACAAATGCTTTCTGCATAACAATCTTTGGTTTTAATGGAAATGAGCTAGTTATGTCCATTAAGTTATTTAAAGCTCATTTATTCATTTCTTTCCTTTTTATGACAAGGATTGTCAAAGTGGGACAAACTATTCAATTTAATAACTAGCAGTGGTCTTTTCAATTGGATGCACAAGCATGCAGGATTTTGCACTACTGTAAATGGACGTACACTTTCGGTAATGTCAGTCTGACCCCCCTTTCAATTCTGCAGCTTTACGAAGATGCGCTGTACCTCAACGGCAACAAGCAGCGCATCTCGGGAGAGAAGCACTTTGCAAAGCTGACAGTGAAGGACAACGTCAACATCCGTGGCCCTGTCAACGGGGTCCCTTTCGACCTCCTAGTCAACCAGCTGGTTGTGAGGAATGGGTTCCAGGCCATCAACGGTCCGATGACGTTCGTCGACGGGGTCTCTGCGGATTCCCTCGTAGTTGCCGGTCCTGTCAACAGCATCAACCTCACAGACCTCCTCCACGACGCGGTCACAAAGTCAACGGAGCAGGTCGGGAATCTTCGAGCCTTTCATTCGTTGGGCACAAGATTACTGCTACTCACGCTGAGCTTCCGGATTATATTTTTTGTGATTTTGAACGTTGCTGTACGAAACTAAAATTTCATCGTTCATGATGGTGTTCATCATGAGAGGCGAGATGTCAATGCTTTGTCAATCTGTTCTACTCGGGTGACAAATTTAGGAGGCTATACTGTACACCCATTGTACTGATCGAAATTGTTGCATTTCTGTCTTCGTAAATTGTATTATCCGCATGCTTTTCCTGCCACCGTTAAAACTAATATTGCAACTAGGACACAGTTGAGCTGTGACAAAATGGATGGTGCAGCTTGATGGGCGTTGCTTCTTGAATGTGACGTGCCATGTGGGCTCAACTTCGTTGACTGTGCGGGTCTCTTCCCCAATCAGGTCATCCAAGGCACCAAGACGTTCACAAATCAGCACGGCTTAGAAATCTCGGATTCATTGCACGTCCACGGCAGTGTCCACTCGAGGGGCTTGGTTGGAGGAATACGCATTGAACAGCTTGGCACGGTCGTGACTGGTCGCGGCCATCACGAGATTGGTGGCAGAAAGACAGTCATGAATGCTCACATTGCTGGCAATGTTTTTGTTCAAGGTAAGCAAAACAGTGGCCTTGTGGCCCTTTGTCAGAATGATGTCCCACACAGTCTTCTCCATCGTAAATGTATTATATTATGCTGGGCTTATTTGGGTACTCAACGTCTGTCAAGCCAGCTGCGGCATAAGCTATCCATCCTAGAAAAGTAGCCGAAAGTTCAGTGTAGTTGCTTGCACGTCGTATTCGCATGCAGAATCTTCGGCGTTAGGTGGAACGGCTTGAATGTTGTCAAATTGATCTTTTGGTTTTTACTATTTCAATGCTGGTCGAAACATTGGGACGTGCCACAGTTTTCATTTGGCATAACGTGATGGGTGTACCAGTGAACGTTTCCATCCCAACTACAGTAGGTACATATCGCGATTCCATTAGTAGGACGAGCAATAGCCTGTTTAAGAATAATGCAGCTTACACTCAACTGTGTTCTTGTCTAAGAACTTGCCACGGTCATCGACGCAGGCAAGTTAAACGGCCTGCGGATTCCCGGCGACCTGGTCCTGCTGAAGTCTCATCACGAGCACATTCCCGGGAAGACCATCCTGGCCGGGCCCGCCACCATCCGGGGCAACCTGAACACCGCCAAGGTCAACGACGTCAGCCTGGACAAGCTGCTCGCGGAGAGGGTCACGCTCCGTGGCACTCAGAGGGTCAGGTCCAAGCTTGTGTTCCAGGAAGACGTCTCAATTCAAGGTGACCCTCCCACCCCACCGCATTGCCAGAAGGCACAAGACTGGCAACGCAAACGCTCGTGTCGTCCCTATTATTGCATCGCCAGTCTCGTCTGCTGCACGAGTGAAAACTCTAGCGCACCCTCCTGCTGCACATGTGCTTGAAATATTCTAAAGTTCACCGATTTTAGGAAATTTTTCATGGTGCTGAGCAATTTCCTAATTAAAACAATGCTTATTTTTGCTTATTGCTGTATAATGTGTAAATTTTATTTACAGATTTTTTGGCCAATTGGTATGACATCGGCTGTGGCTGGCAGTTTGTTCCCTAACGTCTTTTTTTTTTTTCTCAGTTATTTTATTGGTAGGAGTATTCTCTGGTGAAACACCCAGTATTTCAGCCTTCGATGTTACGAAGCTGTAATCTAGACTTGCTTTTTCAGGCAACTTCCAAGCACTGCGCATCAACAGCATTCCAAGGGAGCATCTGGTCCTGCAGTCAGCACAGCGGGCTCTGAAGGGAACAAAGACCTTTGTTCAGGACGTGGAGGTGGAAGGAGACCTAAGGGTCGGACGGGTCAACGGTTTTGACCTGGTCGAACTTGCCAAGGACCTTGTCCTTGTGAACAGGCCCGAGGAGATACCGCACAACACGGTGAGGGCGGCTCCAAGGCCAGCACAACGCTTTTGAGCACCTGGCAAGAGTTTGCTCTTGCACGCACACACTTCTCCTACAGCGAGATTTAAAAGTTAGCATCTTGCCCACTAGTAGTTACTTTTTATGTCGATATTTGCATTGGGTGCTTTTGCTACAATATAGCTACATGGTGGTCTGGAGCAAAACAAGTTTGGGGTGCCGGGCTCTGCTCAGCTTCCCAAGCTCAAGAGGTTTTTGAGGCCTCTGGTGGTAGGGTATCACACTTTTTGGCATCGGTCGCATATCTGCAGCCAAAACTTTTCTTAGTTTCTTTAGAAATGCAGGTGCTTTCCCATCTGTATCCAGGGAAACTTGCATTGACTAGTGAATTCATGAGCTGAAACAATATCGAAAGACTCAGCTAGATGTAGAGTCTCTGGCTACCCAGTCACTTTTGTAAAAACGTGTCAGCTTCTTGAAGGTGCAGATTTGGCTCAAAGTAACGTTTTTGTAGTGGTGCAAGAGCCACTTATTAATCAACTTTAATGAGCAGTCATTATTTTGTTTGACACTGCTATACTTGTAATGACGTTGAATGAAGTTCTTGGGTCAGACGAAATGCCAGCTTATACAGATACCCAGTTGCCGGCTTCAAATTCTTGTCAAGGTGCCCATAGCTTGGTGGCGGTGCCACGCATCTGAGATTTCAGATGCAGGTTAAGAACCACAAGTGGAGTTATGGCACCCCTGGTGCCTTAGCGGGGCGTGCAAGATGCCTCCTCATTGGTGTGGCTTGGAAACCCTCGTGAACTCTCTAAAAATATTGGTGTCGACTCTCGGTTGCGTTTGCCGGTCTCGGCAGCCAAGCCCAAGATTTCATCTGTGTTGCTGAGCTCCATCTCTGTTCCAAAACACTCAAGCCATTTCTTAATTCCTTGTTTTGGCCTTTCCCACTCTTTGACTCCTCCTGAGCAAATCGACGGGCAACCGCAACCTTGGTCTAGCGAAACGTGCATGTTTCTTGAGTCTCAGTTTGGGTGCTAGCATTAATGTACCTTCTCCCTCAGGTGTTTGCTGCTCCCATCGAAGTGCAGGGCGACATTGATGTGGTCGGTACAGTGAACGGAATGGACGTGCACAACCTTCAGCAGCACTTTGCCAGCGGCAAGCAGCTCTGGAGTGCTGGAGTGCAGAGCGTTGCTCGCACTCTTCAACACCAGGGTCAAACATTGCACAAGCAGTACTCTGCATACAAGGGTAAGTGAAAGCCTGCGTTGAGGAGTGACACCACCTTCAAGTGTGTACTTTGAAACCGGTCGCTCAATATTAGACGAAATTTAGAGGGGTCTAGTCATCTCGTTGCCTAAATGCACTGTGGAGTTTTATCGCTGTAGGAATATTTTCCTACAGCAATTACGGCAATTATAGGCTGGAGAAGCATCATTGAAATACAAAGCAGACTAACCCACGTGACTTTCTATAAACAAATGTTGCTTTTAATCAGTTTTCTGTTCAATCAGGGCAGGCTTTTCAATTCTTCGACATGTGCATAGTTTCTTCCACATGAAAGCTGGACTTCCATGGTGTTCTTGCCTGAGTCGAGTTTACTCTTGAACAAAAATGTTTAATGTATTGAAACTGAAGAAATGCTCTTTCCAACGAGGGTATGATCATTCTAGGGCATACTGGTGTAGAGCTACAGCAGTTCGAAAACAGGGAACCTAGAGAAGTTTCACATTTCCAAAACGTACGATTTAGCACGGTCGGCTTAACAAAAATATTTTAATTCTTCGTAAATGTTTCGGATATTGCAATAAGTATTTGCAGGAGTGTTCTCTATTAGTTGTGGAACCGCTGCACATATAAATTAGAAATGTTTTCTTTTCTCAAGATGTGAATTTTGAGGTTCTGTCCCCCCTTAAATATACCATACGGCAAAAAGACTAGTGAAAACTGCCTGTCAAGTAGCCGATGGGCAGGACATAATAAAAGGTTGACTTTTTCCTCTAGCACCCTTATTTAGATGCTGCGGTTAATTTAGGAATATATAGTCTGTTACAGGTTAAACATAGTTGCAAGGATCTTGGGAGGAGCTTTTGCAGCTATGTCCAGATCAACTGACTTCACACTCCAAATGCCAGATACTGGTACCATAGTAAATGCGATTGTTACAGGTCTCTCGAGTCTAGTGCTCGTCCCATCCTTTCCCAAAGACTGCCATGTCTGTTGCCTGAAATGGTCCTAAACTCTGGCATTTCTTTTAGTTTCTTTTTGATCTTGTACTTGTGTGGTACCGACTATCGCAAAACCAGAAATCCTGCACACCTGGTTTAGGTGTACCTACTTCCTTTTTGTGCAGGACAAGCGACAGTATTCACACACTTCGAGCTCTTCCAGACTCTCGAGATCCCATCGCGACGCATCCTAACAAGTCCTGTGACATTCACGGCTGGGTAAGCACAGAGCTAAATTTTGCTTCATATCAGCACCGAAGAGAGGGACTTGGCAGGAATCTACTGCTACGAGCTCGAAATTGTTTCACCACTGACAGTGCAACCTCGTTGACTATTGGAAGTTTGTGGGTGCACAGCATTGCGTGGCCACTGAAGCACTGCATGCCCAAACCGCCAAGCATGATTGATACCCAGTGTTGCTTTGTATTTGTGTACTGCAAGCAGTCGTCATTCAAACATCATTCGCTTCTTGCTTTTTTACTCTTTTGAGGCAGCACAAGATTCAAATTACTACTGTTTAGTCTGCCGTGGATGACAATCCACCAGAGAAGTACCAAAAAATGTCTTTTGTAAAAACGGTAAAAACTACTAGCAACAGCTTCCTGGAAAGTCTTGTTCTATACATGGTACACTGGCGATGTATGCAAAGTACCTTTGCAAAAACAAATTTTTTGTATCTGTGTCAAAAATTGATGCTCTGCAAGAAAAATTCGTTGGCACTGTGGACCCTTCTTTGAACACTCCCTACTCTGATTTTTTGTGCAATAAACAAATATTGAACTACCAATGGGGTGGATTTCAGTCCTCGACTTTCTTCTTTCTAGGTTGCCATGGACTTCAGTTGCTGCCGATGTTGCGGTGTTCTGGACGGCAAGGCCAACTCACTGTCACCACGGCGGTGGTGACTGCTGCAAAGAGTTTTCTTCGGAGATCCTGAATGTCGCCGCCGACGGGACGTTGCACAGGAACAGACTCGTGCTGCACAGGCGCTACTTCCCCTTCGCGGCAGATACTCCAGAAGGGTTCGGAGGACCTGGTTTTGTCGCCTGGACAAACAGTACCTCGAGCAGAAAAGGGTGGGTTCGGTCCCAGTTTCTCACCCTTGGCACGTGCCCATTCTTGTAGTGCAAGGATTGTGTAAGAGGCAGCATTGATGGGAGATTATTTTTTCCTCTTACTCTTAAAGAAAAGTTTACTTTGACAGCCTGTTTCTGCGGAGGACTTTTCCACCTTCTGAGACTGCAAAGTGAGTCGCACTAGACTGGTTCAGGCATTTGCATTCGAGTACAACCCACATCATAACCACTCTTGACAAGGCTATTGCTATGCGGAGCACAAGTTCATCTGCTTGTTGCGCAGCAATCGCGGAGATGTTAAAACGCTGTTCAGACTGGCTCTAATCGGAAGGATGGTGGGCAGACCTCGAGGCAGCTAGCATTGAGGTCTACCCGCTATCCTTCAAAGCCAATCGGAACTCGGCATTCGGACGTCACCGCAACCCCTGTGCAAGAAGCGGACGGACTTGAGCTCCGCATTGCATCGGACATCTGCGCAATGCGTAGAGTGGAAAGCCAGGAGTTGCAATGCAGTCTGCTACATACCAAAGCACAGATGTCCGCACCATGAACTAGCCTCAAGGCAATGTTTCACCGTGCTAGGTTGGCTCCAAATTCTGGAGGGGTTCTCTGGTGACATACTAGCTTTTTTCAATTCACCTGCACCTTTGGTGAAGACAACTGTCAGGCGGTGTGTATCTCCGGTCGTATCTCAATGCACATGCCGGAAGTGCACCGCCCTACAATTTTCTGCATTGGTGCAGGAGGTGCAGGTGAATCAAATGAAGTTACTGACAAGACTCGTGCACACCACCACAACCCACATGGTGGCGTCTTCCGAACCTGCTTCCTCCGCCAGATTTCACGCTGGTACCATTTTTCTTTCGCCTAGGTGCGACCATCCCGGAACGGAAGAGTTTGTGGTCGGCTCCCTCGACGGAGCCCGCCCGCTTTCCCTGGAACAGAACGTCAAAGTTGGTTTCCGCTCGCTGGCCTCCCCCTTTGTGAGCGACATCAAAGTCTTCCAGGCCCTTGGCGACACCTACATGGCGGTGGCCCACTCCTTCAGCAAGTACAGCTTTCACGGCACCAAAGGTGATGAACCCTTGACGCTGCTCCGACAGCAACTCAATGCTGGTTCACACATTTGCTTTTGACTGCGATCACACAAACCACACAAACCGAAATATGGCTCCGGACCAGGCGCATGGAGAATCCAATCCTTTTGGTTCATCTATGGACGGACATTGTACCGGCATATATTCATGTAATAGCTACTGCATGATGCACGTTAACTGCCGCAAGTTAGAAGTCGTGCTACACTGTTCAAATGGACCCTTTTTGGAGCTGCAGATGGTCCTGTACGTTCTGCAAAACGTCTATTACCCCTTCTGCAGGGAAGTTGCAGGTTCATGAAATGTAAAAAAATGCTCACGAGATGTGAGCACTGTAGAACCTTCCACCTTCCGGAAAACTGGCATGTAAAGTTAGAGCAAGGACGAAGCTACCGGCGCAATTGTGTCGCCTTAAAGGGCAACTCTGCTTCTTTTCCAGTAGTGCAAAACTATACAGTTCTCTTCGTTATCATCTGCAAAACCACCATGGCAAATATTACGTCGGAATTCCGCCTAGAAGTTCATTAAAATCGCTGTCAAAGTTTTACAAGCACGAATCCGCTGGTTTTGGATGAGACGTGCGGGCCAGACAACACTGCCCGGTTGCATTTCCGCTTCCTCCAAATTCCTTCTCCCGGCACGTCCGCGACGTCATCAAACATGTACAGCTTCTTTTTTTTTTTATTTTTCGATTTTGTTTTTTGTTTTTTTTTCCGGGGAGAGCACGGGTGGCGCCAGCGCCGTGAAAGACGTGAGTGACGCGCTCGGCCGGCCCGGCGCTCGACTATTGATACTACTGATAAGCCGATCGCCTCGTTGAGCGCGGCTTGTGTTACATCGCATACTTTTGAACACCAAATAAAAGGAGGAGAGGGAAGCTGCTTTTGTAAGAATTTTGAGTGACAGCTTAATCTTCTATAATCTTCTGGGAGGAGAATAGCGACGCCTGTGCTAATCCAGGAGGCACAAAGGAGGATCCTGATAAGAGGGGAGCTCCTTCTTCCCCTTGTATATCACGTAGGTGTACATGCTTAGTGATGCCGAATATACAATGTTGTCCGGCTTTGCCACAGTTTCGGTTTCAGTTTGTGATTATGGCTAGAGTAAAATTACACGAAAAATATTTTATTTTTCGCGAAACAAAAGATTGGGGATTGTTTTTGAGTGCTTCAAAACTTCAAAAAGCAAAATCGGCCACTACCTCAAAATTTTTTAAATTAAGCGGAGTTGCCCTTTAAGTGGCGCTTTCACCGCACAAGCTAGTGCGCTCTGCAAACCTACTCAAAGCTTTTGTACTGCTGCTTCGCTTGCACTTATGGTGAAACATGGTGCAGGATGTCCTATTGACAACTCCCGATCGTCAAAGGGTGTGGGTCGCCGAACGGGGTTTCTTTACAATTGTCTTTGTTTTCGTGCCACTCACAGCGCCAGGTGGTCGTGTGGACGTCTTGCGCCACCTGTCCGAGCAGAACCGGTGGACCCTGGTGCAGAGCATAAACGGCACCGCAGCAGTGTCTATCGACGTGGTCGAACACCGTGGCACAGTGTTGCTCTCGATCGCCAACTGCATGAGGCTTGGCCTGATGCCCGTCCCATCTGTGGTCTACCGCTTCGACAAGGACACACACATCGTAAGCATTTGTATATTTCCAAACAATCCCGAATGCAGAAACGTGCTGGAAAAACAAAGGGCCACTCCAGTAAAATAAAGACTTAATATGCAATTGAAATTCCCATAATTGTGGGCATTAGATCCAGCACTAAGAGTGCAGTGCCACTATGGTTCGTTGGGCAGAACAACTGATAGCTCTTGCAGCTATCAAGTTATCCCTTTAAAATGCTTCCCTTATTTAAGCCGTAAAGGTGCGGCGGCTTGCGATGTTCGAATGTTAATTCTTGAGCTACCGTGAAGTTGCAGGAGATGCCCAACCCCTGAAAGATAGGCCACCCCTATTTTTGGCTTGATTTGCTATTTTGTTTTAAACACCAAAAGATAGCCCACTCCTAGTAATAGTAGTGTTGATCAATGATGGCCTCGGCGTAAGTGCGGCTAGTTATAGCTATGGTGGGATATAGGCTAATGTTGCTGATGGGGAAAATACATTTATTTTTGCTTTGTTGCCCCTCGCCATAACGATTGTACACCGGACGTTAGCCCACTACATTTATTCAGCCGATTTACTCTTGATGTTCGGCAAGCTATCGGAATTTTACGGTATAGCACATTCTCCATTCAAGAGGTGTGGTGGAAAACTTGTATACTCAAGACAACTGTCCATCAGCCAATGGCACCTTTAACTCCTTACCTGTTTTTTTATTTCTGTCAGTTTTTGACTTTAAACTCCTTTCCTCTTTTATTGCACGTGTGACTTGGGTTGTAAGTGTCTCCACCACTGCTCTTGTCTTTTTAGAAACATGCACAGTAAACAATTTCCTGCAGATGTGCTGCCATCTCTTAGCAGTGCTGTGAAGTAAGCTCTAAACGAACCTGGGTCGTCCTAAACAGCCAAGGGGTGAGCGAGAATGCACGGCAAAGGACCCTAGTGTTCGTACAATATGAAACCCCCAATACAAACTACAACTGCCCACAGACAACACTGATGCAAGCAAAGAACCAAGAATGAGAGTGAAATAAGACTAACAAAACAAGCCCAACATTTTGGGTTTGTATAAATCAAAACATAGACTTAATGTTATTGCAGGTAGTAATTTGCACGATTGAAATTTTCTGATGGTAGAGTGCTCCATTTTGGCGTTCGCCGGAAAAAGTGCCTAAAATTGTTGATTCTGTGGCTGCACCGAGCAAAGTGCCAACTTCCCTCCCCTCCCAGTTTATGGCCGTAGCAGAGCTGCCGACGTCTCTTCCATCGTCCACCCTCTTTGTGGGTGCCGGTGCGGGCTTGGCGGTGGTGTTTGCCAACGAGAAGGCAGGGCTGCAGGGCCGCCACGGCTGGGTGGACGCCTACACGGAGCCCGTGGGCGTCTACGTCTGGGTGCAGGGACACTTCCAGCTGCTCCAGAACATCCCTTTGCCAGGAGTGAACTGCCTCGAGCGGTTTCACTTTGCCGGCAAGTTTGCTTCCTTCGATTCACTAGGGTCGCTTTTACGAGAACGGCTGTCACTGGTGAGGTTTTGCAGTGGGTCCCATGTGTTTTGTGTGCGTCTGTATGCAGCAGTCTGCCAAATTTAGTGGGTCAATTTCTCCGCTGAATTGGGCAGGTTAGCCACCCTGGCGGTGGCTCCGAGGTAAAGCACTGGCCTACGGATCCCCCGGTGGCGGTTTCGAATCCTGGCCGTGGCGATCGCAGTCTCGTGGAGGCTTATTGCTGAGAAAGTGTCACGTAACCGAGATTAATATTCTTATTCTTGTTATTTCGGTTGCACGTCGAAAGATTGTCAGGTGGTCAAAATGATTCCCTGGTCCTCTGCTGGAACATGCCAGATTCGCTTAGTTTGTTTGGCACCGAAGAACACCGAATTCGGTTTCGAAATTTAGCAGGGAATCAATCGGTCTCGCGTGCCTTCACTATTTCTCCGCCAGGTTTACCGGGCCCCTTTCTCCGTTTTGACAAATTTTGTCGTGTGATGTCGCAGTACCACGTGATGCCGTGGCCTCTCGCGACGTCGCATACCGTGTGACCACCGTCCGCTTAATTCGAACACTGCGGCATAACTGTGGGCAGCAGTGCGCAGAATCTCGGCCGTTGCCGCAGTTCATTTTGCAAAATGTGACAAGTCATAATTTTTTTTTCTAAAATTGTGGCCCTTCTGGCAGCATTCTCGGTTTGTCCACTTTTTAACACTGCATTTTGAGAGATGGGATCATTCCCGAGGACAACACGGATTTCAAAGGAAAATCTGTGCAAAAGAACAATCGAGGACTAGCAATGGCTTCCCCCCTTTCAAGATTGAGACGTTTTAAAGACAGAATTTTCAAAACCGATTTGTTTTTTTTTCTCTGTCCCAGGTGAAGCTTTCCTAGTCCTTGGCAGCAGACATGCCAAGACTCTGGCGGTCTACCAGTGGCGGGGTTACAGCAAGTTCGAAGCGGTACAAAGCATTGCAGCTTCTCCCGTGGCCCTCCAGACGTACTGGTCCCGTACCGGTCATCTCTTCCTCGCGATTGGCTCCGAATGCGGCAAGACCACCGTCCTCCGCGCTGTCCAACAAGGACAGTGTCTAGCACCGATGCAACGTGGGGACTCTCACTTGGAGAGCATGCTGCGAAGGATTGCTTGAACGTCTCTCCAAACCGAACATTTGGTTGTGAATACTTTTTTACATGTTGACTATTGTTTTTACTACCTGTTATACAGACGTGTTCGGCCCTAGTCCTCACAGTCAACCTACAAGAATGTTATTTATTATGTATACACGACTGCAAGAGTTGGTGGCGTGCCCTTTGACAGGGGCTGTGCCTTCCGCCGATGCAACGCAGCATTGCTAGCTTGGGAGACCACGCTGTGGAGTATACCCTGAATGTCTCTTTTGACCCCTAACACTCGGTTGTGAACAATTTTTACACATGTTGATACTGAGATTTTTTACATGTTGACAGCCGTTTTTTACTACCCATTGTACCGACACACTCGGCTGTAACCCTGAAAGTAAAACTGCAGGAACGGCGACATTGTTTCCTGTATGTACAGGACTGCAATAAAGACTGCCCCACTGTTAGCCAGTTTCTGACAAGTGATGACCTTCGTCTAAATGTCGTGGTTCTAAGTAATTTATGGGCGTTTGAAAGCTGTCAGAGTGCAGGCTTTTCAACTACTGGCATTTGTGTCTGCACGACACAAAACAAACTATTGAATGCATGGATGCCTTCCTTGTTCTTCAAGCAACAACAAATGCATGCTGTACTTCGCTGAATGTGAGGTCTGTAATGGACCATTTGCCACACAGCTGTCGGTATTGTGGGGTTATGACACCGATATAACTAGGCTCCTCAAATTGAGGCCCAATAATTTTACAGTTACAATGCATAATTTTGTACACAACTACGGTCTCGTTTGATTTCACCTAGAATACACCGCAGAGCTTGGGAGCCACAGGAACAAACTACGGTCTCGTTTGATTTCACCTAGAATACACCGCAGAGCTTGGGAGCCACAGGAACACTGGCCATGGCCCGTGGCAATGTTGCTTGTGTGCTAACAGGCTTTTAGTTCTGCAAGCCACAAACCCATGTTCGCTTGCATGCTCCTCAAACGTGACTCCGCGAGAAGGCCTAGTTTTGGCACTACTACTACACGTGCTGTTCAACCCTCAGATTGTTGCCTTACCAGGCAAAGCATCCCAGGTGATCCGTTGCGACCTATTCTTTTTTTTTTTGAGCAACTCGATGGCACAATGTTTGGAGAACTGAGCATTAAGTCTTGGGAGCACTGTTCATAACTATCCCAGGCACCCAAAGTAGCGTCGGACCATTTTCTTATTTATGGCGTCTTCGATCAACTCTCACCAGAATCTCCCTGAAACCTGGACAGTGCACAGCACTCCTGGGTCATGCAGCACGAAGTCGGTGCAATATTGAAGACTAACTGCGCCACGGCGAGCTCCACCATGCGTCGCCTCGCATTGTTTTTTTCTTGCGTAGGTCCGCGCGATGCCAGTTTACTGTCAATTTCTCCTGTTTTTTTACTTGCAGATTTAGCCGTATCGCACGAATGAACATAGTGGACGTGATTGTCGATAGGGTCACGAAGCGGGTGACAATTCCACAGCTATATGCTGCTCATCATTGTTGGTTCAAGAAAGAGAACTACCACAACGGCCGTACTTCGGTGTCATTGAAACACCTCGCAACACTTTCCACCAAGTTCATACCTTTCGAGCGCTCCTTGCCATCGCAGCAATCGACAGTAACCGTGGCGATGGTAAGAAGATCATCGTCTCTCTCTCGGAAGGGCCGAGGAATTAATCGAGTGTAGCTGCGAGGCGTGTTCGTCTTCGCAAGGTCGCCACCTCGATAGACTGCGCCTCTGCTATTCCTGCCATCTCCTAGATTCCTGCTCCTGGTCGCAATGCCTGATGGGACTGCACCTTGGCGCACCGTCGATTTTCTTGGTGCGCGTTGGGGCAACGAAAAGCTGCACCGGGAGAGTGCGCTCCGTTCATCGAGGACGTCCGGTGTGCACCACTGCACTTGGTCGAAGACGATGGGGTGAACCTCGCTGCCCCGGTGTGAATCGAGGATGCTATTAGTATGGCTTTTAAGCTGTTCGTCGCAAGTATGGACTACGAACTTGTTGCTCACAGGTGCTCAAACCACTGCTCCAATTTTTTGACTATGATGCAGTTGGTGTAAAAATGATGCCAGAATATCTTAGATTTTTCGTGCATGCGGGTTGTGGTCCTCCAATTTTCACCGCTAGTTTGTGCGGCACTGCGACGCACTGCACTACACTAACAGGTTTTGACTTCTCAGCCAAGAAAGGAAACTGGACAAACTGTCAATTGCATGTTCGTGCCAACAATGTGTCAGTATGAAGCTGACATTCATCATTCAAAACCTCTCCTTCAGTCTGCATTGCAAAATGGTTCTCGCAATTTATTACAGCTTTGTACAAAAGAAAGGACAGAAAAACTATTTACAGGTGTGCCCACATCCTAGCCCCAAGCGTGCGTCTTGGCGTAGTGGAGGGTCAGCTTGCCGTTTGCCCCAAAACACTGGAAAGTGCAGTTTCCGTTTAACCAACTTACTTTCAAGGTACTTCCAACGACATCTAAGGCACTTCTATTGGCTCACCTCGTACAGGTTGCTGACCTCTTGGTCCAGAGATGGTGCAAAGGCTTGGTTGATGTAAAGGAACTGCGGATCAAAGGGAAGTGCCACGCGAAATAAGATTTTCCACGCCCTACTAAAACACTGCAGCTTAGCCAGCGGTTTGTGAGCGACGAATTGATGCCCTATCCATAGTCGTTGACAGGTGAAGCGAAAGCTCCTCCCCCCCCTTTCCACTTGGGCAGAGTGAATGCTGGAGAGGTCGCCTCCTCTCGAGCCTGTGCTCTACTAAAGTGGGAAGAGGTGGGAGGAGCTTCCCCTGAACTCTTAACAACTATGGACAGTTAGACTGATTGCATTCGGAGCAACTGAAATGAGTGACAACAGTCACCGGAGCAACTGTTTGCCATAATCCATGTGGGAAGGAGTAGCTGCGCAATGCAGTCTCGAGTCAAAAAGCTGGGTGCCCGTAGCCATGTCCCGCCACTGGACGGTTGCAGAGGGCTTGGCTGACCCTTCTACTTAAAGGGTTGTCACAATGGCCCTGTCGTTAATTTCTTTATGACTGCAGTGGATGCAACTCTGAACCGGCCTCAAAAGATCTCAGCATCCCGCTTTTATCTTTCGCCGATGCTTGAGAACAGAAAAATTATATGTACTCTTATAGTTATACACGCCAATTGCAAAACATGGGTCGTCTGCGACAGAATCCAACTATCTCGTAACAGTATAAATCGGGGAAAATCTAAAATAATCATACTCCCTCTTTAAAAAAAAAAAGAAAGAAAAACATTTTGCAGGAATAAGGTGTTCAAGGTGGTCCAAAACCCAATGTTGCCCGATTGTAAAATTTGAAAGCGACTTCCTCAAAGTTCCGACAAAAATAAAAGGCATTTTGGGGAGTCTCCACGTGTAGAGTGTTATGAACTGAGAAGCTAGCGGTAAAATGGGCCGAAAAAAGCTGGTGCCTAGCTGTACCAGGCTCGTGCTTTCGCAAAAGGTGAGTTTTTGTGGTGAACTTAAGCGTGTGGAATTCCAGCCCCAAAAAAAATTGAAACAATGTTTATGACATTCGTGGCACCGCCTCCCAATGGGTGCAGCAAGCGCTCGGTCGAAAATTACTTTGCTTTCATATGTAACATTGATTTTACACTGCAGTGCAAGAAATCTATGGTGGTCCGCGAGCTGAACGACGAAAGGGGGGTCCTTTTCATTGTTGAGCATGCGGTCCACCATAAATTTCTTGCACTGCAGCGTAAAATCGGTGTTGTATATGAAAGCAAAAGCAATTTTTCGAAGGTAAAAACTTCCTTCTAGTCAGCGCATAGGAATTATACGGCGGAAGCATAAAATAAATTACTGGAAACAATGTTTGTTTCTATGCTGACTACGAGAACCAAGCAGCGATAGCAGACGACAGAGTCGAAACTACCTCCTCTCCCGAGCTACGCGGCGTCGATTTCGATGGAGTCGCCAATAGTTCGCTGGAGTCGTGAATACATGCTGAGCACCCGACGTCACCCCGTCGACTCCCCAGCCACCACTAGAGACGAGGGGAAGGAGGAACCACCCTCCTTCCCCTCGTCCCAGACGTGCCGAAACGTCACTATTATTCCTCTATAAGATTAGCCCGTCAGTCAAAATTCGTACAAAAGCAGCTTTCCCCTCATTCTCTTCCGTGGTGGTGCGAAATTGATGATGCGACGTCAGTGCAAAGCATGTCCTAAGGCGGAGCTTGCTCCGTGGGCGGGGCTTGGGCCATCGGCGTGCTGTGAGCGCTTGGCGGTTCCGTCGAGGCCTGGTGCGAGCTCGGGCCTGATATTATATTAAAGTTTCCCAGACCAGAGCGAGGGGTGGTCGCGCGAAGCGAGACCTGTCATGCAGCCTAGCTTGCCGACCGTTTCCTGTTTGTAAGTCTAGCTAATTTTTCAACAGTGGAATGCACACTTATCTACGATGATTGTGCATTCCTCCATTGAAGAAGTGCAACTAAAAAGTACAAAAATAACCGATACAAAAAAGACTGATAACAGTACCCTACCAGGGATTCCGACTGTTCAAGCTTGAGGTATTTCCTGATGAAATCAGCGATGTCCATCACCTTCATGGACGCGGAGACGGCCCATTTTCTCTTCTGCATGATCGGCGCGTCTCCAGTAGCCTTTAGTAGCACGTCGACTGCAATGCGAAATCGTACAGTTATTTAATATTTGATAATGCGCTTTCAAACTCGCACGCGATACAACCACCGCTTTGGAGGAAATCTATCTCACTTTTCTTCCTTTCTGCGTTTGCCTGATGGCCTCCAAAGGATTCCGGTGGACCCTTGTGTTGGTCCGGTTTGGAGTGAGAAGAGTTGTCCGAATTTTCCTCTGCGGTGTCATCCGTTTTCTCGTTGTCGGCAGTGGTAGCAGTAGCAAGATCGGAGTCCGCTTCCGACATCTTTGACAGGATACAACTTGGATTGGATAATGGATTCGACCAATGTTACGCTGATCAAAAGAAAAACAAAATGTTCTAGATAACGGGTTGGTGATGAAATTTGCGTCTCTAAGGCGCCTAAAATGTTCCAAACGCGTTTTTTTTTGTGTTTTTTTTGTTCAGCAGATAAAGCAACAGCGGATCCTGAAGGGAGGTTTATCTTGGGCGTTTTGGCTAACGTCGGTCTTGACTTGGGCGTATTCACTAGGGGTGTCGCGAACCGGCCGCGGTTCGAGTTCGACCAGGTTCGACTTTTTCGAACTTTTAGTGGAAAGTTCGACGAACCTTGTATTGAGGTTCGACTCGTGTGCGCATGCGCGTCAGGCTGGCTCGTTGGCTTCGGATTGGATGGTAATGGCTAAGAGATGAATTAAGTGCAGCGCTGATTGGCTATTTCAGTTAATACAGTACTAAAAATTAAGTTATTAACTTCTTCAGTGATTGGATTTAGTTTCTTTTAATTGCAGCCGTTCACAAAATAAAATAACCCTTTGCATTAAAAAAAAAATTCTCCAAACCTAGACATGCTTGTATCAAGGGCTGGCCACACTGTCCACAAAGTCGAACCGGTCGAATCTGGCGAAAAGTTCGAAGGTTCGTCGAACCGGTTCGACCCAGTCGAACCCCGAAAGTTCGACCAAAAAATCTGGGTCGACAAAAGTTCGCGACACCCCTAGTATTCACCCATGGAGTTATTATAATGTACGCTAGAGGTTCAACTGGCGCTAGTGTCTATGCGACTTCCGTGACGCAAATTGAAGCAGACAGCAACCAGTCTACTTTTGCGGTGCTCCTGTGCATTCCCATGGGAAAACGCGCGTGCATTTCGTCTCTTCGCAGGAAAATAACATGGAACACTTTGGTTATTTCGGTCGTACCGAATAGTATGTGTTTTAATTAACATTGTAAAAGTGTAATTGGTTTAGTTAGGGCATTTTTCTTCATCAGTGAGCGATGTTTAACTTCGCTGCATTTCGGTCCCAAACGTGTGTTCCGCAGCAGGTGTGTAAAAACAAGCGACGATTCAAAGCAAAATTACGATCGAAACGAATATAGAGTGTGTTCAAGGCTTGCCAGCATTCCGGTGACGCTTGTATATTGATAATATGCCAGTCCTGTCACCATATGAAAATGATCCCATCGTGCATGAGCGGATAAAAACCTTCAACGTAGAGAATAAAGTGGATATGAAAGGTGTCTCTTCGTATTGTTTTCTCTGCCGGGCAGCTTTTATCGTGTACTTGTTCTCAAAGATGTCTAGCGCGCGGGTGATATTTTGAACGGAGAACACGCAGCTTCGCTCAGGACAGAAAGAATAAAGCGGTACTCACTTATTTAAAATCGGAATAGATTACGTGGCCTTCAATTTCTTTTGATCGTACATGCACTGCGAGTTACTGATCCGGTGTTGCTGCGTAGTTCTTGCCGTCGCTCTTGATTTTCCAGATGTCCTTCGTTCGTTTAACATGTATATGCTGGAAATCGCCGACGCCGCGTTCGCGCTAACAGTGTCCGACAGTGCACATAAATACACGCACGAAGCCGTTTTAGCACCGTTTTTAGTGCGATGAATTCGAGAGAAAAACGCCGTAACTGACCAATTCTTTCGTCGGCCTGACTGAGAAATGTTCCAAACTACCTAGTACGTACGAATTATTTGGGATATTTGCTCTTATGATCGAGCGCAGGGAGAAAATGCATTCACTTTTCCCCATATAAATGCATTACCGGAAGTCAATTTTCGACTGGTTGCTGTCTGCTTCAATTTGCGTCAGCACACTAGCGCCACTTGAACCTCTAGCGTACATTATAATAACTCTATGTATTCACCACACAATGGTCACTTCCGGCCGCTTAGACAGGGAGCCGAAAAAACTTCCGGTTCGGGTTTTGTTTTCAAGCTTTTAAAGGGAAATGTAACCGTTATGCGTGTGTTTCGCCATCAAGTCGGTATTTTGTTCTGTTTTTTGCTTCCACTGGCTTGGCTATGCCAGATCTTCGCGAAATAAACGATGCAGCGAGCCGCGGCCGTCGAGAGCGAACAGTCTGTGACGCGAGCGCCAATTTCACGCTCAACACTAGGATCGCTTAATTTTGAAATAAAAGATGCACACATTCGTCTCTTCCGGACAGCGAAGATAGTTGTTCGAAGGAATAACACTTGAGTTCGTATGCAAGTAAAGATTGATTAAAATATTAATTAATTACCGCTCAGATTTTTTTTTTTTTTGACTAGATATTGCAACGAAGTTTGAAATATACCCGTCGTGTTCAGAAATAGGTGTAATATGATCCACGATATCCGTAAATGATAATCGCACGATTTGTATTGTGAGCCTTATGGCTGTATTTTTCGTTATAAATGGCCCACTCTGGCAAGCGCTCGGAGAGCAGCCAGCGGAGAGCACGTGACATTCGCCGCAATCGTGAGATTCGTGACGTATAGTTCGTCTCGGGACGAATAAAGCTGCGGCGAGGCTGACGTCAAGGGGATGTCCTAGTCGTTCCAGCCACCGAAGCGGCTGCTTTTGTACGAATTTTGAGTGTCGGGTTAATCTTCTGGGACACGCAAAAGAGATTCTCGGGGAGAGGGGAGTTCCTCCTTTAGCTCATCTCTCGTCGTGGCTGGAGGCGAGACAGTTACCGTCACTACCTGTCGAGGTTCCTAGACGGGTATTACAAACGAGGCCTTAGCGATATTGGTGTGTCACACTCACTCACTCACTCTCACTCACTCGCTCTCACTCACTCACTCACTCACAAACAAACAAACAAAAAAGTTGGTACGCCACTGGGTCCAGAAACACACACCGATCTATCTTACGTCCGGTTTTCGACATACCTTTTTCGATTTTCCGCCGAGAAAACTTTAAAAGACGGGCTTCTCTATCTTGCTCATTGAAGCATACAGAAACATCACCATCATCATCAGCATAATAATAATAATAATAATAAAGAAGCTCGGATTGTCGTGTTGTGGTACTGTTTGTGTTCGTGTGGTTCGCGTCGTCGCTTTGTTTTGCTATAACTTCGTTTCAGCCAACGTTACTAAAACACTCAGTTGGGAAACTGCCATAGAGACAGCAGTGTGGAAAGTTGAGCCAGTTGGTTCATGGTTCTTTAAATAATTAAAAGCGCCGAAAAAAACAAGGACAAAAAAGTGGAACAACACAAGGCGCCTTGTGTTGTTCCACTTCTTTGTCCTTGTTTTTTTCGGCGCTTTTAATTATTTAAAGAGCCATAGAGACTAGGGGTGTCGCGAACCGGCCGCGGTTCGAGTTCGACCAGGTTCGACTTTTTCGAACTTTTAGTGGAAAGTTCGACGAACCTTGTATCGCGGTTCGACTCGTGTGCGCATGCGCGACAGTCTGGCCAGTTGGCTTCGGATTGGATGATAATGGCTAAGAGATGAATTAAATGCAGCGCCGATTGGTTATTTCAGTTAATACAGCACAAAACAATTAAGTTATTAACTTCTTCAGTGATTAGAATTGGTTTCTTTAATTGCAACTGTTCATAAATTTAAAAATAACCCTTCGCATAAAAAAAATTCTCCAAACTTAGACATGCTTCTATAAAGGTCTGGCCACACTGTCCACAAAGTCGAACCGGTCGAAATTTGGTTAAAAGTTCGAAGGTTCGTCGAACCGGTTCGACCCAGTCGAACCCCGAAAGTTCGACCAAAAAATCTGGTTCGACAAAAGTTCGCGACACCCCTAATAGAGACTGCTCTGATAATGTGTCCCCGATCTGTCCTCGAGCACCGAGCTAATGGCGAACACAACGCCGCCATTTCTCCCGCAGCGGCCACTCGAGGAACTGCACGTGACGTCTATTTTGGTTTTGATCGGCCATTTCGGGCCGACACAGATACAGCGGAAGAGGTTACAGGGGTGCCACCCCCGTCTCCCCAGCGGACGCGCCGCGTCGTACTACCGAAGTTAAGATGCACCTAGGTCGGGACGCGCTACCTGAAAGCACCACTGAGGCATGGTTGTATAAAAACAATATTAATTGTGCCGCAAAGCCTCGCAAACTAAAGATTTTAAGAACATAACGCGTCCTTCATTTTGTATTAAACTCCAGTAAATTTCACACAAAATAGTCTTTTCGGTTTGGTTTTGCGCAAAAACATGCTTTCTAAAAGCTCAAGGTGACCACAGCACAGACACATGATAAAGAGTGGCGCTGTTGTCGTATTTAGCTCGGTCTCGGTGGACGCCAGCGGCCCAGGTTTCGACGGCGAGTTTCCTAACTGAGTGTCAAGTCAAGAAGGTAGGAGAAGCTCCTCCCACAAGTGTGATGCGCCCGTTTCAAATCTCTCCGCAGTCAAAAGAAGAGTTCACTGGAAACGCTCCTTGTTCCGCTTCAATGGATTCCAACTTGTCTCCGATCCCACTTTTTAAGAAAGCGACCTTTGTATTCATCGGAGGGGGAACCGAGCCCCCGAAAGCAGCCTTTGTATCCATCGGGGGGGAAGCTAATCCCCAAAAGTCGTATTTGTTTCCGTCGGTGGGGGAGAACTCTAATCTCCCTCTCGTGGCTTGCACAGTGCTAAGTAAAAGTCGAAAGATAAAGCAAATATGTACAGAAAGGCAAGCCCTTCCTCGCGCGTTGTCCGCGACGTCACGGAAACGGTGGGACGCTATTGGATGCGGAGGTGGCGGAGGGATATCTGATTCCCTTTGAGGGGCATTTGCCGCTACCTTCTTAACCTGTAATAAGACCTTTCCAGCGGCAGTCTCGAACGAAGCGATTTACAGCGCGCGTCCCTGGTTTCGAGAGTGTACGGCAGTGTTGCCCGACTGGGCTGAGCTGTGGAGTTTCTCGTCAGTAGGCTGTGGCAGCCTGCGTAGGCGCAATTCCGGACGCTGGTAGCGGCTGAATTGCCGCGTTTTCTTTTCTTATTTTGTGTTCTGTGGCGAGCATAATTTATAGAGGTATTTAAAAAAGCGGTGCTCTATTTTTGGGAAC